TCCCCCCACACCCTGCTCCTCCGCGTAAGCCCCCACCTGGCCTTGCCGGATTCAGAACCGGGTCCACTTCTATCCAGAGGTCTCTGGCCCCGACGCACCAGGTCGGGAGGAAATACAGTGCTCTCACCACTGTCCCGCCTGGCAGGATGGGCCTCCTCATGACGGGGCCCTTAGCTGAACCCACCCGCAGTGAGGAGGGAGAACGCCGCAGGGAGGGAGGCATCGGGGCGGATAAAACAAAAGCTAACATCTCCACTCCCGCCCCAGAGCCCTCCGCTGCCCTGTCTGCACGGACCTGGGTCACCCCGCATCTCCGAGGACTCCCTCTTGGCCTGTCCCGCCCGATACCAACCCAAGACCAGGTTCCAAGGGGGTGAAGTCTGCTGCCTCTCCCCAACCACAGCCCGCCTCCAGGAGTCCCTCGGCGGGCCGCCCCCAAGGCACCGAGGCTGCTGCCCGGGCCCCCCTTTCCTCTCCTGAGAGGCCCCTCCCACGACCCAGGAGCCTCTCCCGCCTCCTGCCGGTGGCAGGCAGAGCCCCCCAGCTTGGCCAGCCAGGACACCGAGCCAGGCAGCCACAGTAGGACTCCCAGGCCACCATGTCCAGCGTCCCTCCCGCCCATGGTGACACCAGGGGCAGGCGGGCTCGGGGAGAACGGGGCAAGGCTGCCCTCTGCTCCGTTTGGACAAGGCCTGAGCCACTGGATGGGAGCCTTCGTGCCTGCTTATTTTAGCCTCAAAAAATGGAATTCACCCCTAACCCCCCTTTCAGGCCCGCCTCCCCCAGACCTGGAGGGAGACCCAGGGCTGGCAGGGTGCCACCCGGAAGTGGCCCACAGAGGGCCGCCCAGGCCCCGCCATGGCTGTCACTCCGCAGGGCTCTGACCGGTGCCCTCCACTTGGGGGCGCTCTGCAGGCAGAGCTTAGGAATTTCCAATCATTTCATGAGAGACCCTCCATTTTTAAGTGTTATTATTAGTTTTAAAACATTTTATTTATTTATTTACTTATTTTTATGTATCTTTTTTTTTTTTTACAGAGAGAAAAGGAGAGGGACAGAGCTAGAAACATCGATGAGAGAGAAACCCACCAGCTGCCTCCGGTGCACCCTCCACTGGAGATGTGCCTACAACCAAGGAACATGCCCTTGGCCAGAACTGAACCCGGGACCCTTCAGTCCGCAGGCCACCGCTCTAACCACTGCACCACACCGGCCTCGGAGATTTTTAAACATTTAAAAGCACCGGGAGCCAATCACTGAGGAGTGAGGCTGGGGCGGAGGGCCCTGGCCTCTGGGTTGGGGAAGTGGAGGCTCTGTGGGGGCTGCACCCCTCGCAGGAAGCAGTGGGGCCGGGTGGCTGCGGCTCTGGAAGGAGCCCCCCCAGAGCAGAGCGCCCCCCCCTCGCCCCACAGAAACGGGAGGCCGCCTGGGGGGGGCCCACGCGGCTCCCCGGGCGCCGTGGCCTCTGGGTGCCGGGCCCCCACCAGCCCGCAGCTGCCTCCGGGGGTGAGGCCGGGCGGCCAGCGCAGTCCACCTGCCTCCATCCCGGCGCCGGCCCGCACCGCCCAGAGCACCGCCCAGAGCACCGCCTCCCCGAGGGGCCTCCCGCGGTGCTCCCGGGCCTGCCACCGAGGCCGCTGCACTGGCCGCTGCCGCCCCGAGTACCCCCTCCGCCTGAGGGACCCCCCGCCCTAGGGAGCCCCCCCGCCCCGAGGGTCCCCCTCCGACCCCAGGGACCCCCCCCCGCCCCGAGGGACCCCCCCTCCTCCCTGAGGGATCTCCGCCCTGAGGGAACCCTCTCCGCCCTGAGGGACCCCCTCCGCCCCGAGGGTCCCCCCTCCGCCCCGAGGGTCCCCCCTCCGCCCCGAGGGACCCCCTCCGCCCCGAGGGACCCCCTCCGCCCCGAGTACCCCCTCCGCCTGAGAGACCCCCCCGCCCCAGGGAGCCCCCTTCGCCCCGAGGGTCCCCCTCCGCCCCGAGGGACCCTCCCCCGCCCTGAGGGACCTCTGCCCTGAGGGACCCCCTCCGCCCCGAGGGACCCCCCCCCGCCCCGAGGGACCCTCCCCCGCCCTGAGGGACCTCTGCCCTGAGGGACCCCCCCGCCCTGAGGGACCCCCTTCCTGAGGGACCCCCTCCGCCCCGAGGGACCTCCCCCGCCCTGGCCCCGGGGGCGGCGGTGAGGGTGGGCACCGTCCACCCGCTGCTGTCCATGGGCCTTCGCCAGCGAGGGGCGCCCGCCACGGCCACGGCCACGGCCACGGCCACGCCAGGCTGCGGGCCCGCGGGGCAGGAGGCGCCCCCTCAGCCGCGGCCCCTCCGGCGGGTGGACCCAGGGCCGTGGTCCCGGGCCCGGGTCCGTGCGGGATGGCGGCGGGGGCCCGCGGGCTCCCGGCCGCCCCGGGGGCGCTTCCTCCGGCCCCACACACGCCCCCTCGGAGCCGCGCTCCGCCCCGCGTGACCGGAAGTTCCCCCCGTGGGCGCGGGCGGGGCGGGGCGGGGCCGGCGGCGGCACTTCCGGTGCCCACGCGCCGCCGCCGCGCAGCTCCGGGCCGTCACTTTGTGTAGCGCGGGGCGCGGGGCGCGGGCCCGGGGGCTGGCGGCGGCGGGCGCCCGGCGCGGTGAGTGGGCGGCGGGGCGGCAGGGGCGGCGTGGGGCCGGGGCCGGCGTGGGGCCGGGGCCGGGGCCGGAGCCGGGGCCGGGGCCGGGGCGGGGGGCGGGCGTGGGGCGGGGCGCGGCGGGGAGACCGTGGCGCTGGGGCCCCGGACCTGGCGGCGGAGGGCGCGCTGGGGTTTGGGGGGCCGCGCCCACCCGCTGGGACCTGCGCCCCCGCTCGGACCTGCGCGATGGGCGGCTCGGACCCAGGGCCTGTGGGGAGGGCAGCGCGGAGGGGGCGGCCGGGGGGACACGCGGCTCGTGGGGGTGATCTGCGCCGTCCGGAGTGGGGGGCTGGGCTGTGGCCACCGGACACGCCCATCCGGGAGGGGCTGTCACCGCCAGGGCCTCGGTGGGAGGACCAGACCCTGAACCCCTGGAGGAGGGGGCTTGGCTGGCCCGGAGCTGCTGGGAGCCGGCCTGCAATGGAGGCCCCTGGGCTGCTGCGCTGAGACAGGCGGCCGCGGAGTGGGGTGCGGTGGGCTGCCCCTGTGGCCGCAGAGGTGGGCGAGGGGCTGGCCTCAGGGACCCCATGGGCGGGCAGGGAGGTGTGCAAGAGGCTCAGGCCCTGGTGTGTGGGGAGACCTTGGCGGTTGTTTGTTTCAACAAGTGTGGGCAGGTCGGGGGAGTGGCCTGCGTGGTGAGGGAGCCGGATGGTCCATGGATACACCTGCACCCCCAAACCCAGGAGAGTGTGGCACCCCAGGCAGTGGGCACCTGGTCGTGGGGAAGGAAGGCTTCCCTGGAGGAGAGAGAACCTGGGAGGCACCCAGGGGGGGCCCCGGGCACCCACGCCCCTCCTCTCCTCCTCTGCCTCTTTCCACTTCTGGGGAGCATTCCTAACAGTTGGAACTTGGCCACTCCTGCTGTCCTGGGGTCCTCCCTGCTCCCCTGAGGGGCATTTTGTCACCCCAGTTCTGATAGTTGGCAGCACCGTATCCTGGGGTGCAGGGCTCCAGCGGGAGCAAGGCCCCGGGGTGATGGGGTTTGTGGTGAGGCTGCTGCTCCCCGGCCCCCTGTGGGTGGCCCTGGGGTTGGATGTGGGGAGTACCAGAGGGAGTCTGGTGGCTGGTAGCTGGGCAGAGGGGAAGGCGGGGGCAGGTCTGCGGACGGGCCTTGGGGGGCTAGGTGAATGTAGTGCTCAGGTATCGAGGTCCATCTTCCAGGACGTTCTGTCCTGGATTCTGGTCTGGGCACGTGGGGTGTCTGGCTGTGAGGGGCAATGGTCCCACCTGCAGGGTGGCTGCCGACCTCCGACCTCCGTGCTGCTGGGTCTTTCCCTTCTCTGGTCGCTTCCTGGGAGAAGGGGCTTCGGGCTGAACCCCTGAAGCCGGACCCTCTCCGGTGCCTCTGGGGGGACCCTCGCCAGCGGCCCGTCTGTTCTGGAAGGGGACAGTGTGGCCAGAATGCGGAGTTTGTAAAGTTTCACGTTCACCATCCTGGTGAGACCTCAGAGTCACGTCTTCAGTAAACGTTTGTGCGCCCTGTGCGTCTGGCGCGGGGCACTCAGCGGTGAGCAGAGGGGACGCTGCCCTCTTCGCGGTGACGGTCGGAGGCTGGCAGTGAGCAGGCAGTTCCACACGTGTGTAAACGCCTGGTGCCGTGGGAAAAACACAGTCACAGGGAAGGCCAGGCACTGTGTGGGATGGCCTGGGGGCTGCCTCCGGGGCCTGGGCCAGGGAGAGGGGTTGGGGCAGGCGGTGAGCGTGGGTCCCGGATCCCAGAGCTGGAGCTGCTCTTTGAGTGCCAGTCCCTGGACACTGGCCCGGCTGAGGCTGAGGCTGAGGCTGAGGCTGAGGCTGTGGGAGTCAGCGCTGGGCGGCCAGGCAGCAGGCAGCTCTGCCGGGCTTGGCATGTTGGCACGGTGTCCAGGCTCAGCTGAATGTGCAGCCTGAGGTCTGGGTGAGAAGAGCCTCTGAGCCGGAGGCGGGCACCGTTGGGAAACGCGCTGGCATTCTCCGGGCCCGGGCGCTGGCAGGGCTGCTCTGGAGGCGGCTGCAGCCACTCCAGCACCCGCTCCCGCTTTCAGCACCTTCACCCCAGCGGGCTGCGGGCGGAGGGCGCTGGGGAGAGGCTGGAGCGGGGCCTCCTGGGTTGCTCACCTGAGGCCTGGGGCTCAGTGATGGTGAACTGGAATGGGTCGCGGCCGGCAGGAAGAGCTGAGCGCCGGGCCGGTGGGCCTGGTGCTGTGAGCCGGCCTGGCCTGGCCTGGGCGGAGCTGCGTGGAGCCGCCGGTCTCTGGCCTCCGCTGTGCGGTGGGGGCAACAGCGCCGGCCCCCTCCCAGGGCGTCGGGCGGCGCCTCACGCCCTCCTTGTTTCAGGCCGAGCTGAGGCTCCCCCCGGAGAAGATGGCAGCCCTGCACACGGTGCCCGGCGCCCCGGCCGCCCAGCCGGAGCGGGCGGAGGACGGGTCCGAGTGCAGCCCTGAGCAGGAGGAAGAGGAGAGGGGGGAAGAGGCGGAAGAGACAGACGAGGAGGAGGAGGAGGAGGAAGAAGAGGAAGGCCAGGACGTGGTGGAGGAGGCGGCAGCCACCGGGCTGCGGGCGGGGCACGGAGAGCCCATGGAGCAGGTGGAGGAGGAGGAGGAGGCAGAGGAGTGGAGTCCGGCGCTGGGAACCCAGGCGCGTCTGAGCCATGGCGGTGCCGCGTCCCCAGTTCTTCAGGAGCAGGGTAGGAGAAGGGAGGAAGGAGGGGAGGAGGGTGGGGGAAGGAGGGGAGGAGGGTGGGAGGAAGGAGGGGAGGAGGGTGGGAGGGAAGAAGGAAGAAAGGTGGGAAAGAGCTCTCTGGCCCTTGAGGTTGGAGCTGCAGCTGCAGGGAGAGGGGGGGTGTCAGGGCCCAGGCTTTGAAACGGGGTGCAGCCAGGAGCTCCTGCCCCTCTTGCTGGATGGGCAGAGGCGGCCAGGACAGTGAAGCCCCTGCTAAAGGCAGCGCCCCCTAGCAGACTTCTCCCCCAGCTCTGCAGGCCTCCGAGGTTCCAGCCGTGCTTGGGGAGGAGGATCTGGAGGAAGAGGAGGAAGAGGAGGAGGACGAGGAGGACGAGGAGGGGGATTTCCTCACAGCTGGGTCTCAGGTGAGCCGCCCTCTCTGGAGTCAGTAAGCAGGCAGGGTTTCCTCGGGGGCTGGCCCGGCTGCCTGGAGACCCCCATGGCAGGGGCACTGTGGCCTTCGGCCCCAACCCAGCTGAGCAGGGACATGGCCGTGGACTGTGCCAGGCACCCTGAGCCCCACGGGATGCGATTGCACTCCCTCGGCTGACCCCGGCCTTGGGAATGTCCTGTGGGTGCCGCCCACCACCCACTCCCCTGAGCCATGCAGCTCCTCAGAGGCCTGTCTCTCCCAGGCCAGGCTGTGCTCCTTCCCTGGAGCGCCCGTCACTGGCCCGGGCTCTGATCCCCTGCTGAGCCTGTGAGACCAGGCTCCTGTGCCCACTGTCCCCCCGGTACTGGCCTTCGCGTTGCTGACGTGACCACTGGCTTGAGCCAAACCGTGAAGCAGGAGGGGACGAGGCGGCCACAGCACAGCCCTGAGGGCCTGGCTTTGTTGTCCTCTGACCTCTGAATGCTGGCTCTGCCCTGTGCGAGCCGGGTGTTCCCCTCTGTGAGTCCGGCCCCTCATCTCTGAGTGGAAACGGGGCCCCTGCCTCGGAGGGCCACGCCCGGCCAGGAAGCGGGTGATGAGCTTGGGCCCGGTCATCCTGTTGGGGGCACCTTCCATCGCCCCTGGGCCTGCCCTCCCCCGGGCAGTGTGGAGCAGTGACCGGCGCTCTGTTCCCAGGGGCTGGTGACCTTTGAGGACGTGGCTGTGTACTTCTCGCTGGAGGAGTGGGAGAGGCTGGCGGCCGCGCAGCGGGCCCTGTACAAGGAGGTCATGCAGGAGAACTACGGCGTCCTGGCGTCCCTGGGTAAGCGGGCCTCTGCCCCCAGGAGGCAGCCGGTGCCAGGGCTGCTGGGGGCTTCGCCGTCTGGAGTGGCGAGGTGCCAGCCCACCGCCCAGGGGAGCCCCTCAGACAGCCCTGCTTCCGGGTGGGCGCCCCAGTATTGCCCAGCAGTGCCAGGAGCCAGGCGGGCATGTTCTGGAGATGAGGAGTGAGCATCTGCAGCTGTGTGTGTGTGTGTGGGGGGGGGAGCTTGCAGGAGAGCTGGGGTACCGGGCAAGGCTCGAGAGGAAAATGTGGGGTTCTCGGAGCGGGGCAGGGAGGTGGCGGCTGGTCTGAGGAGGAGTAAGAGGAGAGAGGAGCTGAGGACTGGAGTGACAGTGCTGTGTGGCGTGAGGGCGGCCTGCAGGCACAGCCACAGCCTCTGTCTCTCTCCGTGCCAGGGTACCCCATCCCCAAGCCGGATCTGATCTTCCGGCTGGAACAAGGAGAGGAGCCTTGGGTCCCAGACAGCCCCCGGCCCGAGGAGGGAGACATCGTCACTGGCATCTATACAGGTGAGCGGGAGGCAGAGCCTGGCGGGGTGTCTGCCGACACCAGGGAGCGTTGGCCTCCTCCTTGGCCTGGCGCTGGTGGTCTGAGCAGAGGGTGGGCTGTGCAGAGCGGTGGCCACCTCCGGCTACCCTGCCTTCGTGGGCTGGCTGCTCTTGGTCTCTGTCCGTGGAGAGCTGAGGGCTAGGAGGTCCCTGGAGAACGTAGTTTCTTTTAGGCGGCCTTACACGTGACCTCTGTCCTGGCCTTGGAGTTTCTGGGTATGTCTTGTTGTGTTCTGTTTTGTTTGTAAACGAGGGCCAGTTGTGAAGTGCCGGCTCAGAGGGGCTACAGGTGCAGAGTGACTGTGGGTACTGGCACTGCCCGAGCCAGGCCTCTGGCTTCTCCATCCGTCTGGCATCTCTGAACAATGGGTCCCTCTGAGCCTTCCCTCCTCACCCCGGAGGCGCCAGGGACAGCCTCTGGCCGGGCGGGCAGCCCCGGCCTTCAGAGGAGACTTGGAGAGATTCTTGCAGGAAGCTCAGCGCGCAGATGTCTCTGGGGACCTGGGACCTGGCTGCAGCTCCGTCCCCCCTCTGTCTGAGCCTCACGGTGCCCGTCTGGAGAAGAGATAACGTGAACTCAATCTAGTGTCCAGCCTGACGCTGTGGGACTGTTGGTTCTGGGCGGTGTCTCCCGGAGGCCTGAGTCCTCGGTGTTTCAGAAGGCTCGGGGGAGTGAGGGGGGAGCGGAATGGTGGGGGTGGAGGGAGGGGGGAGGGGTGATGCACAGGAGGTGCGCTGGGCTCTGGGCCGGAGTCATGCCAGCCTACTGAGGGTCACTGATGTCTCATGCCAGTCACGTGCCTGGATAGACCCATAGATGTGTTTTAACATATTTTATTGATTTTTTACAGAGAGGAAGAGAGAGGGATAGAGAGTTAGAAACATCAATGAGAGAGAATCATCGATCAGCTGCCTCTTGCACACCCCTTATTGGGGATGTGCCCACCACCAAGGTACATGCCCTTGATCGGAATCGAACCCAGGACCTTTCAGTCCGCAGGCTGACGCTCTATCCACCGAGCCAGACAGGTTTCGGCCCATAGATGTGTTTTAAAGTAAAAAACACAGACAAGCACAGACAATGCTCTGCCTACACGTGTGTTCCTTAGAGTATTTCCCGATGCTTCTTATGCCCAGATCAGCCGTGTGACACAGCGGATGTGGGCTTTCTGCCCAGGCACCCATGCCCGGGGCCCTCCTGGGATCTTTTCCCGACTTCAGCCCAACACAGCGCCGCTGCCTCCAGAACGAGACAGGGTAGTGTGACTGTCCCAGAGGGTCCCAGAGGGTCATGTGTCCCAGCCACAGGCAGATCTCAGGAGCAGCCCCCCAACGCCTGGTCCAGGGGCCACAGGATCTGTGTGTGCCCATTCTCCGTGGTTCTAGGAGCGCCCTGTGGTGTAGCCATGATGTGCCCTGAAACCTCCCCTCGCCTCTCCCAGCCCCAGCCATCCGCAGAGTCTGGGGTGTAGGATCCAAGCATAGTGTTAAATGCTCTGCAGGGTGAGTTAATGGCAGCCTGCCTGCTAAACTGCCCCCCCTTGTGCCCCCTTAATTTCTGTGCAGCCGACCCCTTTGAGGACTGCCGGGTCTGGCAGGTCCGCTGCTGACGGCTCTAGCCCAGCACGTTCTGAGTTTCTAGAGGAAGCTTGCAGAACAGACTTTTCCTCTTGACCAGCTGGGGCACAGTAAGGTCTGGTTCTGGCCAGAATCCCACAGGTGGCTACAGCGGGGTGCACGCCCAGCGGACACAGGGTGACGTGTGCAGAAGCAGGTGCTCTGCACAGCCGGGGCGGGCTCCCTGTTCCCTGTGCCGTGCTGGCTCCATAAACATAAGGTCCCTCCAATGCCACCGGCCTACCAGCACCCCCTTATAAACTGGGAGCCCACACACCTGCCCCGGGTCTATACTCTGGCTGAGGGGAGAGGTCGGCCTGGGGCAGAAAGGGGGGCGAGGACAGAACAGCAGGAACTTGGACTCCTTGCCCTTCTGTGACAGGAAGCAGCTTGCAGCTCAGTGTCGACTAAGGAAGGACCGTTTCCCAAAGGCACAGCCACTTGGCGAAAGCCCCGCTGGGTCCCCTGGGCTGTGCCGCACAGCTGGTGGGGCGTCCTGAGGCGCGTGCAGAGAGCCCCAGATCTCCGTGGCCCAGGACAAACTTCCTGGTTCTGCTGGACGTGGGGGTGACCCCTGGTTGCTGGCCAGCCTCAGGCTGGAGGAGCCCGGAGAGGGAGGGAGGGTGAACAGCCCACCGGGTCCTGTCCGGCTCCCCCCAGCTCTCCCGCCTTCCCCTGTCGCCCGCAGGAGCCTGGTTCTGGACCGACGACCTGGATGACCACGAGGAGGACGACGAGGACTTCCTGGCAGAGGTGGCGGAGGAGGAGAGCGAGCCCCCCGGGCTGTGGTCGGCGGCCTATGGCGTGGGGGACGTGCACGGGACGTGGGGTCCAGATGACTCGGATTCGGGGCAGACTCCGGAGGGCTGGGGGCTCGACCCCGGGGGCCTCGGGGCCCTGGCCGAGGGGTCGGAGGTGAAGTCCTTCCTGCCGGGCCAGGAGCCCGGCGTGAGCCTGCTGGCGCCTTGGGCGTTCCCGGCCGACGCGGCCGACCAGGCGGGGCGGCCCGAGACCACGTGCGACGTGTGCGGCAAGGTGTTCCCGCACCGGTCCCGCCTGGCCAAGCACCAGCGCTACCACGCGGCCGTCAAGCCCTTCGGCTGCGACGAGTGCGGCAAGGGCTTCGTGTACCGCTCACACCTGGCCATCCACCAGCGCACGCACACGGGCGAGAAGCCCTTCCCGTGCCCCGACTGCGGCAAGCGCTTCGTCTACAAGTCGCACCTGGTCACGCACCGGCGCATCCACACCGGCGAGCGGCCCTACCGCTGCGCCTTCTGTGGGGCGGGCTTCGGCCGCCGCTCCTACCTGGTCACGCACCAGCGCACGCACACGGGCGAGCGGCCCTACCCGTGCCCGCACTGCGGCCGCAGCTTCAGCCAGAGCTCGGCGCTGGCGCGGCACCAGGCGGTGCACACAGCCGACCGGCCGCACTGCTGCCCGGACTGCGGCCAGGCCTTCCGCCTGCGCGCCGACTTCCAGCGCCACCGGCGCGGCGGCGGCTGCTCCGAGCCCGGCGGCGACGGCCCCCGGCGGGAGCCCGGTGACACAGCGCCGGCCGCGGGGCCGGAGGAGGCCGAGGCCGGGCCCGAGGGACCAGATGCCGGGGAGGCGGAGGCCCAGGCAGAGGCGAGAGACGCGGCTGCGGCTGCCCCGGAGGCGCCCGCCCCGCAGAACGAGGACCCCAGGCCCGCCCGGCGCCTCCCGGAGCTGGGCAACGGCCTGGGCGAGGGCGCAGGCTCCTCGCCGCACCCGCTGGGCTTCCCCTTTCCCGTTCACCCCAAGTCCTGGATCCATCCGGACGGTTTCCCGATGCTGGGCCTCCCCGACTTCAGGGAGCGGCTGCCGGCCGAGGGGCGCCCCCTGTCCGGCCCCCTGGGGGCCCGGCTCTCCCTGGCGGAGGGCGCAGGGCTGGCCAGCGACCCCTTCCGCGCGGGCGGCGGGCCCGGGGGCGGCGGCGCGGGGCTGCGCGCGTTCGGGCCTGGCGCCGGGGCGCTGCTGGCCGAGCCGGCGCCCGCCGCGCTGCCCGAGGAGGAGAGCCCGTGGATCTGCTCCGACTGCGGCAAGACGTTCGGGCGCCGCGCGGCGCTGGCCAAGCACCAGCGCTACCACGCGGGCGAGCGGCCGCACCGCTGCGCCGACTGCGGCAAGAGCTTCGTGTACGGCTCGCACCTGGCGCGCCACCGGCGCACGCACACGGGCGAGCGGCCCTTCCCGTGCCCCGAGTGCGGCGCCCGCTTCGCCCGCGGCTCGCACCTGGCGGCGCACGTGCGCGGCCACACGGGCGAGAAGCCCTTCGTGTGCGCCGTGTGCGGCGCGGGCTTCAGCCGCCGGGCGCACCTCACGGCGCACGGGCGCGCGCACACCGGGGAGCGGCCCTACGCGTGCGGCGAGTGCGGCCGCCGCTTCGGGCAGAGCGCGGCGCTGACGCGGCACCAGTGGGCGCACGCCGAGGAGAAGCCGCACCGCTGCCCGGACTGCGGCAAGGGCTTCGGCCACAGCTCGGACTTCAAGCGGCACCGGCGCACGCACACGGGCGAGAAGCCCTTCCGCTGCGCCGACTGCGGCCGCGGCTTCGCGCAGCGCTCCAACCTGGCCAAGCACCGGCGCGGCCACACGGGCGAGCGGCCCTTCCCGTGCCCCGAGTGCGGCAAGCGCTTCTCGCAGCGCTCCGTGCTGGTCACGCACCAGCGCACGCACACGGGCGAGCGGCCCTACGCCTGCGCCTGCTGCGGCCGCCGCTTCTCGCAGAGCTCGCACCTGCTCACGCACATGAAGACGCACCGCAGCGCGGGCGCCGCGCCCGGGCCCGCGCCCAAGGCCAAGGCCGAGGCGCCCGCCAAGGGGCCGCCGGGCGGCGGCGCGGGCGCCCCCGGGGAGCGGGGCGGCGCCCTGCGGGAGTTCGCGGGCGGGACCAGCTTCGGCTCGGAGCCCACGCCGTTCGTGGGGCCCTCGGGCGCCTACCGGGAGGGCGTCCTCTGAGGCCGGAGGCGGTGCCGCCGGCGGCCAGGGTGCCAGCTGCGGCGCCAGCCCCCCCTCTGGCCTCAGCCGAGGGCCCAGTGCTGGTGGGTGCCTTCCCTCGGCCCCCTGCCCGCCAGCCCAGCGTGGGGGGGCGCACACCCACAAAGCCGGGTGGCGGTGCCAGGCCTGCTGTTTATTTCACTGGGATCTGACGCAGCCTCAGAACAGGTGGCCGAGGCGCTGTAACGGGTCTTACAGCAGAGGAAGCCCTTTTGGGGGCGGGGGAAACAAGGCTGCCCCGTGGGTTTGCAGACGGCCCCCCACCCTCAGGGAGGGGAGGGCCTGCGCTCAGAAGCCGGGCGTTTCCCAAGGACCCGCTCCTCCCGCCCGGGCGGAGCTGCAGCGGGACAGCTTTGGTTCATTTCCATCTCCCGCAGCACCAAGAAGGAAGCCGGAACCCTAATCTGTGGCCCCGGGGCGGCAGGCCCCAGTGAGCTTACAGCCTTATTCTGGGGTCACCCGCTCTGCTTGCCCCACCTGAGCACCCAGGTGGGCCAGGTGCTAGGCCCGCCTGTCGCTTCACTGCCCGCCTTCCTCTGAGTCCGTGGTGCTCACTCCGGCCTGCGGGGGCACCCAGAGATTGGGGCCTCGGCCCCAGCCTTCACCCCCTCCGACTGCCATCCCCTGGGGTCAGCCCGACGCTCAGAATTAATAACCAAAGTGAAGTGACAGGTCGGTGCCAAGATCATTCCTCAAACCCACAACCAGGGCCCAAGACACCCGCAGGCCGCTTGACCTCCGCTTCTCCCAATTCCACAGGAGAAGCAGGTGGTTCCTGCCCAGATCCCCTCACAGCGGCATTCTGCCCGGTGGGCCTCGGGCACAAACCCCGGGCTGAACAGCAAACCAAGCACCCAACTATGCAAGGCCCACACCTGGCCGTACCCCACTTCCAGCTGGGCCCTCAGGACCCACTGGACGGCCGGCTGAGGCCCAGCTCATGTGAGACTCCTCCCATCCTGAGTGGGACCAGGAAAGATTTTATCACAACTGCATTCCCTCTTAGACCTAGTTCCTTCCGTTGTAGTGTAGACGCGGCCTTGGAGCCTGGAGCCAGCAGCCGAGCTGCAGGGCTGGAGTAGGAGGCCAGTAGTCAGTGGGTGGGGCGAGGGCCTGGGTGGCGTTGGCATGAATTAGCCGGGCTGGGGGGGGGTGGGGGGGGTGAGGAGGGCAGGGGTCCTGGTCCCCGGCCTCCTCTCCCAGTGGGACAGGGGCCTCAGACAGGGCCGAGGGCGCCTTGGGCTGGCCCCACGGGGCTGGGCCTGGCTCCGTGCTGTTCCTCCTGGCGCGGCCCTCGAATGGGTGCCCCTCCTGGCCCTTGCTGCTTCTGCCCTGCTCCGGGCCGTGGGCAGGAGGACCAAGCTTTAATAAAGACGAGAAACGAGCTATCTGACTGAATCCGTGTTGTTGCCGCCCTGGCTGCCCTAGGGGAGGCGTTGCAAGGCCTGGGGCCCGTCTGGTTTCCTCACACGTTTTCTATGAGTTTTTCTTTCAGGGAACAGGATTGGCCCACGAGGAGTCAGCCCTGGTGAGCTTTGACCCTGCTGTCTGTCCACACACTGCCACCGAGTCCTGGAACACACCCAGCCGCATGGGGCAGCCTTCCCGCGGCCCCCTCCTGGTGGTCCCCAAACGTGCCTGGGATCACCTGCTCTGTGCCGGGGCAAAGGGTGCCTCCCCCCGGGCCCTAAACACTTACCTTTGAACTGATTTATTGACTTCGCAGCACGTCCCCCAGACCAGACCTGACCCTCCCGTCCTCCCCCCAGGGATTTGAAAATACGAGCTGTATAGTAAACTCTGTTTTCCAATGTGATTTGGGGGCATCAGGACAGAACCAATATTTCAGATTTAATGAAAAAGACCTAGCCCAAAAGGTCCACCTTGAGGATCTTAAAGTCTATTCAGAAAGATAAAGTATTCCCTGCTAGGGCTTAACCATTGGCCGGCCAGTTTTTTGTTTTTAAATATATTTATTGATTTCAGAGAGGAAGGGAGAAGGAGAGATAGAAACATCAATGATGAGAGAGAATCATTAATTGGCTGTCTCCTTACCTCCCCTTCCCCACTGGGGATTGAGCCTGCAGCCCAGGCATGTGCCCTTGGCTGGAATCGAACCGGGGATCCTTCAGTCTGCAGGCCAACATTCTACCCAGTGAGCCAAGCCAGCTAGGGCTGTTTTTATCTTAATGGGGGCGGGGCTTCAGTCTTGATGGTCACAGACAAAAAGGCAGCCTTCCTGGCTGGAGAGGACTTCATGTTTCTGGAACCTTGATTCATCCCGAGAGTGTCCGTGAGCATCTCCCTTCGTTGCCCAGGAGGGATGGATGCCCTGAGATGCGACCCAGGAGAGGGGGCAGTTGGAGAGCCAGAGCCTGGAGCACCTCTCTCGCCTCCGTTACTTTCCTGATCTCACCGCTCACGGTTCCCAGCCGCCTCCTTTCTCTGCCCCTTCCATGTCATCTCCCCCCCACAGTCTCTCTGTCCTTTCCTTCCTTTAATTGGCTGCATATGGAATAAAGTATTTTGAAACTTTTGGTTATATTTATTAAATAAAGCTTTATGATCCTTGTTCCTTAATGTTTTGCCTGTTTACAAAATGCATGCCCCAGTAGTTGTAAGAATTCCAACAAAAATGTGGTAAACACACTTCTCACGTACTTAAGAGTCATACCACAAACAGCCACCAGGGGCCACGGCTTCCGAAGAGCACGCGGGTGCACACTGCGTCCGTGTCCGTGGAAATCCTTTAAAACTACGAACATACTTGACTTATTGCAACGTGATTTTATCACTTGATATATATGTATCTGATGACATTCTTTCCTACCTCACTCATTTTAAATTATATATATATATATATATATATATATATATTTTATAGAGAGGAAGGGAGAGAGATAGAAACATTGATGAGATAGAAACATTGATGAGAGAGAAACATCGATCAGCTGCCTCCTGCACCCCTCCCTGGGAATGTGCCTGCAACCAAAGTACGTGCCCTTGACCAGAATCAAACCATGGACCCTTTGATCCTCAGGCCAGCGCTCTGTCCACTGATTCTTGCACATATATCTTGGTGCAGTCATACATATTTTAATTAATTAATTAATTTTTATTAAGATGTTATATGTGTACATAGCTTACCAATCCCCACCCATCCCCCATTCCCAAACGTGCGTCATACAGATTTTTAATATAACCATTCGTTTCTGGGTCAAAGGGCATGCATATTTAAATTTTTGGCTATAACTATATTGCCCCCTAGAAAGGCCAACTCCAGTCCAATAGCATAATCTCAGTGAGGAAGTGCTTTTGGTCCGTGGCCTCACCAACACAATTGTTTTCATCCTGTTCATTTCACAGAGAGGCAAATGGCTTGCATTTCTCTATTTTTTTAAATGTATTTTTATTGATTTCAGAGAGGAAGGGGAAGGGAGAGAGAAACAGAAACAATGATGATAGAATCACAGATGGGCTGCCTCCTGCACGCCCCCTTGTGGGGATCGAGCTGAAAACCCAAGCATGTGCCCCAACTGGGAATCAAACCATGACCTCCTCCTGGTTGATGCTCAACCACTGAACCACGAATGCCGGGCAGATTTATGTACTTTTAAAGGCATTCCTAAGAAATTGGGAACACCAAGCAGATTCTTTTCCCTTTTTAAACATTGAGGTGAAGCCCTGACTGGTTTGGCTCAGTGGATAGAGTGTCAGCCTGCAGACTAAAGGGTCCCAGGTTTGATCAGTCAAAAGCATGTACCTTGGTTGTGGGGACATCCTAAATAGGAGGTGCACAGGAGGCAGCTGATCGATGTTGCTCTCACATCGATGTTTCTAACTCTCTCCCTTATTAAAAAAATCAATAAAATTATTTTTTAAAGAAATAAATAAACATTGAGGTGAAATTTATATTACATAAAAATAACCATTTTGGCTGAAACCGGTTTGGCTCAATGGATAGAGCGTCGGCTTGGGGACTGAAAGGTCCCGGGTTCGATTCTGGTCAAGGGCATGTATCTTGGTTGCGGGCATATCCCCAGTGGGGAGTGTGCAAGAGGCGGCTGATCGATGACTCTCTCATCGATGTTTCTAACTCTCTATCCCTCTCTCTTCCTCTCTGTACAAAATCAATAAAATATATTTTTTAAAAATAACCATTTTGCCCTCCCTTCCAGGCCTGGTCCCTCTCGACTTCCCTCCCCTGCTGGCCTGATTGCCCACAGCTGCCCTCCCCCAATGCCATCTTGCGGTGACCATGTTGTGTCCACTGTCCAGATGGGGGCAGCCATCTTGTGTGTTGGAGCGAAGGTCAATTTGCATGTTACCGCTTTATTATACAGGATCATTCCTGCTGTAAAAAACTGCTTGGCTGTGCTCACTTGATTGTTCTCTGTATGACCGAGCCTCTCCCTTGCTCGGGGCCGTGAGGGAGGCCCTCACCCGGGGACCAGCGTCCGCTGAGGGGTGCATTGGGAGGCGTGAGGTGAAGGGAGGCCAGAGAAGTGGGGGTGGGGTCCAGAGGGCTCCCGCGCAGGCCCCGCCCCGTGTGGGCGGAGCTTCGCTGTGGGCGGAGCCTCCCGCGACACCTGCGCGGCGTGGGGCTCTGTGCGCAGGCGCGTGGCGCCTGGGCTGCGTCCTGCGGGCTCCGCCTCGCTGCGGCGGCGTGTCCGCCTCCCAGGCCCCGGCGGGGTCGCGGCCCGAGGACGGCGGAGGCGGCAGCCCTGCGGCGAGGGAGCGGCGGTGAGTCTGGCTGCGCGCCCTGCGTGGACCCACGTCCGGAGGCGGCGCTGCCCTCTGCCGGCACCGGCCCCGCCTCAGGGCGGCCGGGCGGGGGCTCCTTCAGGGTCCCGAGCGCCGACGGCTCCGCCCTGAGCGCTCCCGGCCGCGCGGCCGCCGGTGAGGAGCCCGGCCCTGCGCGGCCCCTGCCGGTCCGGTAGGGAGCCCCGGCCCCTGCGCGGTCGGGTAGGGAGCCCCGGCCCCTTTGCTGTCGGGTAGGGAACCCCCGGCCCCGGCGCGGTCCGGTAGGGAGCCCCGGCCCCTGCGCGGTCCGGTAGGGAACCCCGGCCCCTGCGCCGTCGGGTAGGGAACCCCGGCCCCTGCGCCGTCCCGTAGGGAGCCCCGGCCCCTGCGCGGTCGGGTAGGGAGCCCCGGCCCCTGCGCGGTCGGGGGGCCGTCCCCGGTGCCCAGCCTCCGTCCCAGCTCCCGGGCGCGGGGAGGGTGCCGCCTGCGGATGCGGCCCTGACGGAGGTTCCGGCCAAAGCGGGCTTGTCCTCCAGGCTCTGCCGGCACCAGGCGGCCTCCTGGGCCCGAAGGAAGGGGCTGCAGGGCCGGCCTCTCACCGCGAAGAAACCCTCCTCCTCAGCCTCGGACCCGAGCCCCGTCTAGCAGCAGAGGCGGCAGCAGAGCCGGAGGGGCCGGGGCTGGGCCGGGCTCCCGGCCCCGCAGCTGCGGTCCCTCTCGGCAGAGAGAAGGGGCCGGGCCGGGGGTCGCCGCGAGGGGCCGGCGCTGGAGGGTCCGAGGTTGGGAAGCTCTTACCTTCAACTCTCACCCGCAAAGGGCACCTCCGCCCCTTCCTTCCCCACCGGGTCTTCCGGAGGCCGGCAGCGCCTTCACCGCGTCCAGCCCGCATGTCGGCATCCGGGGTGCGCTGCTCTGGCTTCATCTTACAGGGCCACCAGCAGCTCAGGGAGGATTGGCAAGGTTATCGATTGTGTGTCTTTTGACCGAAGGCAAGAAGAATCTAAAAGGAGCCGGGACCGGTTTGGCTCAATGGATAGAGCGTCGGCTTGGGGACTGAAAGGGTTCGATTCCGGTCAAGGGCATGTACCTTGGTTGCAGGCATATCCCCAGTAGGGGGTGTGCAGGAGGCAGCTGGTCGATGACGCTCTCTCATCGATGTTTCTAACTCTCCATCTCTCTCCCTTCCTCTCTGTACAAAATCAATAAAATAAAAATAAAATTAAAAAAGAATCTAAAAGGAAAAATGACTCTTCTAGGACCAATGAGAAGCAGACAGAAGTCAGAATGCCCAATACTTGTACTCTCCTTGGTGCTGTCCACACAATCACCTGGAAACAAATTTCCTCCCAAAAGGCCCTTATGAGAAACATCCAGGGTTTTTTGGGGGGAGGGGCTCTTCTCTTTTCCTTTTTATTGAATTTATTGGGGTGACATTGCTTAACAAAATCATACAGGTTTCAGGGGGAAGAAACGGTTGTGTTTTGTTTTTAAAGACCCATGTTTGAGCACCTATCCCCCTTACCAAAGCTTTATGAGGATTCTAGAATATACAAAATAGACTTTGTAGTTCCTCCCTCCTCCCAAATATCAGTTTTAATTAGGGCATCGTATTTTGTCTTTTGAGATGCCTTGATACTTGTTTTAAATATTTTTGTGTTAGAGGAAGATAGATAATTAAAGCAGCAGTGAACATTGCAGGCTTAAGGAGTCACGAAGGTTACCTTCCTCTGCTCCAAGGTTGAAGGTTACCCGCTGGTGTGGAGAGGTTTTTAGGACAATGGAGGTGCTGCAGGGCCGGCCAGCTCTCATTCTATTCCTTTCCTCTCCCAGGTTCCCACACTCTTACAGGAACAATAAAAAATGAGCAAATCCCAGGTGAGTTCTTTTCTTTACTCCTTATCAGTGGATTTCACAGCTTTTGTATATATTATTGTGTTCATATATTAAGATGGAAAAGTGGAATTTGATTAAAAGCCTATTTCTAGGTAAATGAAGAGTAGCTCAGGTCTATGTAGGTCATGTGATCCTGTGATTTATGTAGGTCATGTAGTCCTAAAGCCCCCAAATTACTTGAAAGTATTTTCTGCCATGCTGTGGGTTGCATTTTACTGTTGATATATTTTTTTAAATTAAATAAATATTGCTTAGATTATTTCAATTGTCCCCCCCATAGCTCCCTTCCACCCAGTTCCCACCCCACTCTCTGCCCTTACCTCCCCTTCCCATTGTCCTCATCCATAGGTGTAGTATTTAGTCCAGTCTCTTCCTGCACCTCCCACACTTCTTCCCCGCTGATAACTATCAATCCACTCCCTTTCTTTGCCCCTGATTCTATTATATTCACCAGTTTATTCTGTTCCTCAGATTTTTAATTCACTTTTTAGATTCACTTGTTGATAAAATATGTATTTGTTGATCATAATTTTTATCTTTACTTATTTCTTCTTCCTCTTCTTAAAGATTACCTTGCAGCATTTCATGTAATACTGGTTTGGTGGTAATGAACTCCCTTAGCTTTTTCTTATCTGTGAAGCTCTTTATCTGACCTTCAATTCTAAATGATAGCTTTGCTGGGTAGTGTAATCTTGGTTGTAGGTTTTTGCTATTCATCACTTTGAATATTTCTTGCCACTTCTGACTGGCCTGCATAGTTTCTGTTGAAAAAATCAGCTGATAATCGTATGGGTGCTTTCTTGTATGTAACTATTTTACTCAGTTATTTGAGGTAGACACTTTTGGTGCTCCCCTTGTGTACTGTGTGTACAGACTTATTGTAGTTAAGTCTTGATTGTTGTTGGTATCACTGGGAGGAATTGACCTCCAGACCTATTGTCTGTATCAGCTGTGTCTACACCAGGATACCTTCTGTATTGGAGACAGTCTTATAGGATCAGACTTTTGCAAAAGCCTCTGTGCTCAGCTTGGATGGGGTAGAGTCTCAGGGCTGAGCCACCAGTCTTGGCTTCCTGTCAGTCCTGCGCGTGTGCGTGTGCTTCAGACTTCTGCCTTCCACAGATCCCCCGAGTTTCTGCCTGACAGTTCAGATTCCCCTTGTAAAAGCATGGGTGCCCCAGGGGCTCACCCTGAACTGGGTTTCAGTGCTCAGTGCAGTTGGAAACTTCGATTCCTTCTGCTATGAGAGGCTGCAGCAGCTTCTGCGGTCAGACCTCTCTGTGTGCACTCACCCGCTGCGGCTCCTGGCTCCCCCTCGTCTCCCAGTATCTGAGTCTCCAGGTGCCTCTCTCTACCCGTATGAGCCTGGCTCCACAGGGTTTTGGCCAGGGTTGGGGATCAGTGCAGCCGGAACAGGGTTCAATGCAGTCAAGGGCATCCTTTCCCCTCCCGCCATCCGGTACTTGGCTGCCCTTCCTCTCTGCATGAGTGTCTCCCTACCTCAGTGCTTTGCGGCTCCCAATCTGATCTGTGAGCCTCTCTCCTTCTTTCTAATTGTAAATTTCTTGCTCAGCCAGCTTTCCTGTGGTTTTGGATGATGTCCGTTCTTTTTCTTGTTATTTTGAAATTTTTGTGCGAGGTGGTAGTTTAGGCGCTTACCTAGGTCGCCTTCTTGGTTCTCCCCTGATGGTGTCTTTTTTAAGAAAAGATATGTTTCCATTGATTTCACAGAGGAAGAGGGGGAAAAGATAGAAACATCAGTGATCAGAATCATTGATTGGCTGCCTCCTGCAGCCCCACACTAATTATTGAGCCCACAAGCTGGGCATACTCTCCAACTTGGAATTGAACCCTGACCTCCTTGTTCATAGGTCAATGCTCAACTGTCTCAGGAAGGCACCATGGAGGGTGAGAATGTGTAGAATGTAGAAAACTATTCCAATACAAGTTTTCTTCACCTGCCCAACAGCATCTGACTGCCAGCACCTCCCCTGCAGGAGCCACGTCATTCTTCCCGCAGAGCTGGCTTCCATTCAGGTGGTCCTATGGCCCATGGCCTTCTCTTACCTCAGTGGGATCTCAGAGTTGGGCTATGGAAATAAGTCAGCAGCCTGTGCTATCCTCAATTTCGCAGGAATCATAAGACTTTAGATTCAAGGAAAGGAAAGCAATTTATCTGTGATGCAGATATCGCTGTGATGAGAAGCAGCAATAGGATTAAAAATGTATTTCCTTGCTGTTTAACTGGAGGCATTCTATAGAGCTGGCCGTCATTTGTAAGCAAGTAGCCTGATAGACAGCCTCCTCTCGGGAGCGTATCTGGAGGGCCCAGCCAGGCACTGTGAGCTTGAATAAGGAGGGTGATGTCTCAGATAGAATGTGGCCCATGCCTTCATTTGGACCTATTTGAGGGGACATGGGAGCACCATTGAGCCAATGCTTCACTAACCCTAGGACGATTTAAAAAATGGGAGCATCTCACCTCCACGCACCAGGAAGGGGTGGCCTCTTGCTCAGCCCTTGAAAATCCCTCAGGGTTCCTAATCTGCTCACATCGCTCATTATGAGGTCTCCGTGTTCACAAAGCAAGCACTCACCTTGTCTGGACTGTTTTCCGTTCTTACTGTCTGACCCAGGCCACGTGTGCGTTCTTTCACTAACTCTGGCCTGGTGGATCTTCCATGATGGCCTGAATAGTTCAGACCTTTTCAGATTCCCATTCCATCAAATCTGAGACAAACCATTACTTCAAGTACCTCTTAGGAAGTACTTAATGGGAGAGGAGAAAAAGGGCCAGTTAAACCAGAACATGCTAACTTCAGAGATATAACAACACGGACATTTGGGAAACTGAACAATTACATTTCTGGATTACTGAAGAGGCCAAGTAAGCCCACTTACACACATAACATTTCTATGTGTAGGGCTCAATCAGAGGAAAAGAATGTGGTAAGCCATGTAAACTTTTCACATATTTTACTTAAAATGCATACCAATGAAGTTATAAGGATGACACATGAGTGTGGAAAACCTTGGTAGATATCATTTCAGCAATTATACTGAAGGGCTCTTGAACTGAATGGATGGTTCTTACACAGAACTAACTACAGCCTGCCAGACCTTCAGTCCTGTTATGTGGCACAGGCACAGTCACCTAGAAGGGAAAGTGCTGAGCAACAGAACAGGTGCCACGAGTAGTGGAAATAGTGAAAAATGTGGCCATTCTTCTTAATGGTGAGAAATATACTACTCAAATAACACAGGCATCAGGCTAACCACTGGAAACAAGAGGAGGTTCTTACCTTTCACCATATGCTGTCAACTACAGTGCAGCAACAATCTACGAATGATATGAATGAGCCTAAACAAATGTTATGGCATGCATTATAAAAAGAAATATATCTGGTTCCAAAGGTCCTTAATCTGTGATGTAACGATTCATGGAAATGGATACACTCAATGGTTTCTAATGCTCTACCTACTTACATCAAAATTTACAGGAAATAAACCTCTGTATCAACACCTCAAAATAAATGAATTACCTAAAGTCCACTTCTCACTTGTGTAACTCCTACAAAGGTGTCACTTTGTATCTTCAGTTACCAATGAAAGAGCAACCCAAATCTACTGGCTGGAAAAGGTAAGAGTCTTTCACAGAGGAACAGTCCTGAGGCGAAGTGGCTCCGTGGATGGCTGGTCCAGTGGCTCAGCATCCCCTTCTGGGCACCAGGTCTGCGTCTTTCTGCTCTGCCACACTTTAGATACACGTCATTGTTGAGACATAAAAAAGTATCACTTCCCAGCAAGGCAACGTTCAATGCAAGATTCCACGTTACCCACAGGACTCCAAACCTTTTCCAAAAATAATGTGTCAGGTATCTCCTTTGTATATGTGTCTAGAATTGGGTGCCAAGATCACCTCATTGCTGGTAATGAAGAAGGCATTATCATTACTGGTTGAAACTGATCAGGATTTATCCCCGTTCCATCAGGAGAAATGGATACCTAAACTCTGCCAGCAAACAGTAAGGAGCAAGTGGCAAAGGTGGTTACTCAACATTACACTGAATGGGTTCTCTTATGTAAAATGAGGTCTGACTTCAGAGAAGCCTTCCCACATCAAGCACATTCACATTCCCCCGCCAATGGATCCTCTGATGGCTATTGAAGGCTGATTTGTGGTAGAATTTTTTCCCACATTCGCAACAATGTCTGCCACAAGCCCGTGTGAACATGTTCTTCAGTCACTCAGGAATAGGACGGAGTAGAGCACAGTGTTTAAAAATACTATCAAATAAAATACACATAATTCCTAAATTATATAGTATGGTGGTTTGCACATTTACATTTGTGTAGGCATCCGAAAAAAAAAAACAGATCAAAATTAGATAAAAATTTAAGATCAGTTTTAAAATGTAGAGTTCAATGAATATTGGTTTTTCTCACTACTAGAGACTTCTGGCATTAACAATTTAAAATTACCTATGCAGTTTTCTATTTTGTACATTATTTTCTATCTCTTGCTGACTCAGATATAGTTGTGAACATTATAAATACACTGACTTCATGATGGCAGTGTTTAGTTATTCAGTTCATTAACAACAATCAAATACATTTGTAAGTGCTAGGAAAGAGTACAAGAAGAAACATACTTTATATATACCAAATACTAGTACAATGACAATGCATTCTAAGTACTAACATGGCTGTATTATTAAAATAACTAATCTTACACATGTCTTTCAAATCATTCCAATAAGGATATACTGCCTTTTCAAACATGATTCCAAATGAACGTACAGTCCCTGTAATGTACCATTCTAAAAAACAAGTTAACAAAAGCCTGCATGGTCAGGACACACTCATGTATGAATTAAATGTGGCTGTATTGTGGTCCTGATGGGCTATCTAGTCTTATAGATTCTATTTATATAAAGGGTACATTTATTCACAATATATATATTACAAAAAACTTGATAACAGAAATGTAACTTTTAGTATTAATAACTCCAGAGGAGACTTTTCCACATTCTGTAAAATGACAGATCTCCCATTGGAATGAATTCCCTGATATGTGAAGCAGTCTGACTCCATGGAAGTGTATGGACATTCTACGTGTTCATACATTTTACAGTCTGGTATCTAACAAGTCATGTGTCTTATTGTAGTTGCGGTTTCCGTGAATTCTCAAGATTAGAAGTTTGAGTAATGCACAGAGGTGGGTCTACTTTCCCCTGTGTGAACTCTGACTTAACAAAGGTAGGAATTAACATTACACTGGATGGGTTCTTATGTAAAATGAGGTCTGACTTCAGAGAAGCCTTCCCACATCAAGCACATTCACATTCCCCCGCCTATGGATCCTCTGATGGCTATTGAAGGCTGATTTGTGGTAGAATTTTTTCCCACATTCGCTACATTCATAGGGTTTCTCTCCTGAATGAGTTCTGTAATGTACAGTAAGGTATGACATTCGAGAGAAGGCCTTTCCACATTCATTACATTCAAAGGGTTTCTCTCCTGAATGGATTCTATGATGTATCGTGAGGTATGACATCTGAGAGAAGCATTTTCCACATTCATAACACTCATAGGCTTTCTCTCCAGTGTGTGTTCTCTGATGACGATTAAGAGCTGAATTCTGACAAAAGGTTTTCCCACATTCATTACATTCATAGGGTTTCTCTCCTGAATGGATTCTATGATGTATTGTGAGGTATGACATCTGAGAGAAAAATTTCCCACATATATAACATTCATAGGGCTTCTCCCCTTTATGTATTCTTCGATGTCTACAAAGGGCTGAATTCTGGTAGAAGGTTTTCCCACATTCATTACATTCATAGGGTTTCACTCCTGAATGAGTTCTATGATGTATAGTGAGGTATGACAACTGGGAGAATAATTTTCCACATTCATTACATTCATAGGGTTTCTCTCCGGTGTGTACTCTCTGATGTCTCATGAGGGCTGAATTCAGGTAGAAGGTTTTCCCACATTCATTACATTCATAGGGTTTCTCTCCTGAATGAGTTCTATAATGTACAGTGAGATATGATAACCGAGAGAAAAATTTTCCACATTCGTTACATTCATAGGGTTTCTCTCCTGTGTGTGTCCTCTGATGTGTTGTGAGGGTAGACTTTCGGCAGAAGCATTTCCCACATTCATTACACTTATAGAGTTTCACACCTGTGTGAATTTTATGATGGTCATTAAGTGCTGACTTCTGGGAGAAGGTTTTCCCACAGTCATGACAAACATAGGGTCTCTCTCCTGAATGTGTTCTCTGGTGTTGGGTGAGGTGAGTCTTCTGGCAAAATGATTTTCCACAATAACTACATTCATAGGGCTTCTCTCCTGAGTGAGTTCTCTGATGTTGAATGAGGTGTAACTTCTGGTAGAAAGTTTTCCCACATTCTGTACATTCATAGGGCTTCTCCCCTGTGTGTGTTCTCTGATGTACAGTGAGGGTTCCCTTTTGGCAGAAGGATTTCCCACACTGATTACATGCATAAGGTTTCTCTCCTGTGTGAGTCCTCTGATGTATAATGAATTTTGACTTTTTACAGAAGGATTTCCCACATGCCTTGCATTCATAGGGTTTCATTTCCATATGAGATGTTGGATGTACACTGAGGTTTGACATCTGGAGAAAGGCTATTTCAGATTCATTCCACTTATAGGGCTTCTCCATAGGATTAACAAAAACTGCATCCTTTTGAAAGGCTTTCTGGCATTCAATATATTCAAAGGGTTTCTCCAAAATATGAATGTCCTGATAAATACTTTCTTTATTTAGAGTATAAGCTTCCCCATTTTGATTAAATTCATAAGATTTCTCCCCTGGGTGAGTTTTCTCAAGCTTCACATGGAGAAGTGATTTCCCACAGGCACTACATTCATCAGGCTTCATTCTTGCATAGCTTCCGTCACTACTAATATATTCTGAAGTGGATTTTAAACTCTTTTCACATGAGTCACATTTATAGGATGTTTTTCTTAAAAGAAAAGGGTTTATTTCCACATTAAAAGACTTACCAAGAACATCACCTCTCTCTTCAATTAGAGTTTTGTTGTTGATGGATAGAGTTTGCCTGGAATGTCTGTCTTCAATTTCCTTGACTCTGTCTATCAGGTCAACTTTCCAGACTTCTGAAAAGAGGCAAAATTAACCAAATTTTGTACATCTTCCTACATAAGATATGGGATGAAATATACATAAGCATGTTTGTGGCATAGATGCTAGCTTCATAGATGAAAATAATTCCATTTGTACCTTTCCCCCTTATTCTTTTTCTTGTATATGTTAATTCTCACCTGAGGATACTTTTTCGATTTATTTATTTTAGAATGAATGGAAGGGAAAGAGGAGAGACAGAGAGAGAGAGACAGAGACACACATATGCATGGGAAAGAGACACTTCAATTGGTTGCCCCCCACATCCCCAGCCAGAGCTGGGAATTGAGTCTATAACTGATGTACGTTCCTTTGACTGGAATCAAATCCTCAACCCTTCAGTCCACAGGTCGATACTCTAACTACTGAGAAAAATGGCCAGGGCTCCCTTACTCTTTAGTTTGAAAAATCTCTCTCTTTCTTCCTCTCCCCAATGGTGATAAAAGGGGGAAATTCACTAACAAAGACACAAGAATCTTTTTTTATAAGAACTTGTTCAAAACTGGATATAGAAGGTAGAAGAACAGCAGACAAGATGCCAGATGAATGACTGACAATACAGACATGAGAGCAAATGGAGTCCAGTGAAAGCAACAAGAAGCACTGCTGGGTAGGAGGATTGGAATCTCTCTCCAAGGATGGATCTGTTTTGGAAGAGAAGCAGAACTTCACCCAGCATCATTTCATATCAGCTTGGGAGAAACAGCTCACAGTATAGGCTTGATTTTTTTTTTTTTTTTTTAATATATTTTATTGATTTTGTACAGAGAGGAAGGGAGAGAGAGATAGAGAGTTAGAAACATTGATGAGAGAGAGTCATCAATCAGCCGCCTCTTGCACACCCCCCACTGGGGATATGCCCACAACCAAGGTACATGCCCCTGACCAGAATCGAACCCAGGACCCTTCAGTCCCCAAGCCGACGCTCTATCCATTGAGCCAAACCGGTCTCGGCAGTATAGGCTTGATTTATCAGCCTGTCCCGAGACGCTGTGGCACTGCCGATGCCCAGCTTACTTTCACCCCCAAGCCTCTGTTCCTGCTCTTGCAGTCTGCTTGACTTTTAGCCTTGGTCTACCAAAACCTCTCTTGGGGGGTTTCCATGCTTTCAGAAAATACTTCTCAAATCCCGTCTCATCTCTGGTAGCTCCAATTTTCTTTAAAGTTGAAAGTAATTACTCTCCACACAATCCCTTTTGCACAGGGATTCAACCTTGTGGAACATTGAAATCCCATGTGAAATTCTGGATCTCAAATTACTCTGTATGGCTCTGTTCTCTTTTCTTAACCAAAACCCATCTCTTAGGAAGTATGACTCTATTTCCTAAATCTTTTGAACCTCTAAATATAAATTAGAGAAGCTGTTCTTACTAGTAATCTGAATCATGTGGGTATCTGTCAAGTACCTACAGGATATATGAGATGTGACCTAAACATGCCTGCTCAGAAATAATGACCTGTAAATTACTTCTGAATGAGGGACAAGGAAGTCCTGCCGCCTTAGCCAGTTTGGCTCTGGATAGAGTGTCAGACTTCAGACTGCAGGGTCCTGGGTTCAATTCCAGCCATGGGCACTCAATCCCTTATAAGGGGCATGCAGGAGTTAGCCAATCAATGATTCTCTCTCATCATTGATGTCTATATATCTCTTTCCCTTCTCTAAAATCAATAGAAATACATTACAAAAAAATTTTAAAAAGTTCTGCCACCTGTCTGGCTCCTCAGGTATAGGAGAAATAACCGTGTACTATACGTTACACAGCACAGTGAGGGGAATATGCTCCTTTCTTTCCAGGTTAGAATCCAGGGGTAGTGAGCCTCAAGCTAAAAATATGTGCCATCAGATACGAGATTCTGGATCAGACCTAGAAGTGGAGTCAAGAGATTAGAGTTAGGATAAGAGTTGGAAGGGAAAACTTCAAGGAGGGAAGGGTTTGAAAATTTGAGCTCTGACTTAAGAGAATGTGTTATCTGGCCAGACGAAGCACACCCCACTGAAAGGCAGAGCTGTAGGGACAATAATCTCGTCAACAGAACACATGGACTAAATGGAGTTTAGCAGCATTTTTGGAAACAACTGAAAGTTACGTTTTCAGGCAATACAGGGCCATGACTGTGGTGCTTCTCAGAGGATGAGGAAGCTAATTCCTTCAGGAACTAACAGGGAATCACTGTAGGCTCATCCTGTGAAATGAGTGACAGGACAACTGGAACTTCTGGTGAACACACCTTGCAAATCCAAGTAGAATGAAGGTGAACCCCACAAGGACAGGGCAGGCAAGGCACAGAAACCCGAGACCTGAGGCAGAGGAGCCCTTCACAGACAAACCCTGAAGGAGGGGCAGGAGGAGGACAAGTCCCAGGTCCACTCTGACACTGACTCCCTATGAAGGCACTGGGGACCCAGAGCAACCGGAAATGGGAGACAGATGAACAGCACTCGGAAAAGGAGGGAGCCCCAGATCCTGCTGTCACCACTGAGGATGGGCTGGGCTCAGGACTAACGAGCACCACAAGCCCACGTGACCTCCCAGGTGAACGGGTTTCACTGGCCGAGGCACGGTGAGCGTCTGGGATCTTGCCTCAAAGAAGGAGAAGTGACAAGTGAAGGTGGAGCTGGAAACACATCGGAGGCAAATGCACGTTAAAGGAGGGGGAAGCATGAACTTAAGGTCACATAAGTTATGCGGTAGTAACAGACTTGTGAATGCCTCGAAACACAATCCATGACAGTGGGCTACCGAAAAGAGCGAGTGAGACCCGAGGTTTGAGAGGAAGGGACTGGATTTGGTTCTGGGAGGTAAGCATGGAAAAGCTCTAAAACACTTCTTTCCTGGGAGTGACAGGCAGGCAGCTAACGCACACAGCTAACTTCTCTAGTCACTTCTAAAGGTTTGGAACCCCACCAATTCCAGAAAAACGCTGCCGAGTCAGCAGTCCCTCCTCGCTGCCTCCCACGCACCTGGGCAACCATGAGGTGGGACTTCCCCGACTCCTCTCCAGGGCTCCTCTCCTTGCTCCAGCTTGGTGATGACGTCCGGTTTGACGAGGTGACAGCCTGTTAACAGAAAGAGAGAGACCCTGAGCCTGGCCACGGGGCTTCTGCAGAGAGTGGTGCCTTATAAGATACACGACCAAAGTGCCCTCGGAGCTGTGCCGATTCACCAGGAGGCAAATGCCCTGCCTCTTGCCCGAACACACCATTCCCATTTATCCCATCCAGTTCATCAGAAAACGGGTGGGAAATCCCGGATCCTAGCAGCTCGGCGCTCTGCTCACCCACGGAGACGAGGTGGCTGTAGTTCTCCAGCATCACGTCCCTGTAGGTGGTCTTCTGCTCCGGGCCCAGCTGCTGCCACTCCTCCTGGGTGAAGGCCACGGCCACGTCCTTGAACGACACCGGCTCCTGTAACAGCAGCGCGATGGGACTTAGGGACGTGGACGAGGCGTCCGGGGACAAGAGCTTACCGGGTCCCCGGCAGAGGCAGCCAGGGCCCCGGCATCCCTTCTGTGTTACAGGTTGTGGAAGGGAAACAACGCTCTCAGGCAGGCACTGAAAGGTCACTCAGGGTTCACACCCACAAAGAAACGGTCTTAACTGAGCCACACACTCCTGGCTGCTGGGGAGACTCAGCCGGGCAGAGGCAGCTGCCCGGGGAGCCCGGGCCTGAGGGCACCGGTGGAAACGGGCACCTGCTCCTTCATTCTGCTTCCAACACGAATGGTGCTGGTTCTGCTCCTGCTCCAGCTGCTCCTGCTCAGTCTCCTCAGCTGGCTCCTCCCCCTCCATGTCATCCCAGGTGGAGGGCTCTGGGCTCCCTTTCGGTCGTTACTCTTGTTGTCTGCACTCACTGCTCTGATGCTGCTCCATCTGCCTCATGGATTTAGTTACCGCCTATGGGTCAGCATTTCCCCACTGGCTATCACCAGCCCAGACTCTCTCCTCGTTCCTGACAGGTCCAGATCTCAACCTCAACGTGCCTGAAACCCAGCCGCTGTTCCTTTCCAAATCTGTCCCTCCAGCTTACAGGAACCAATCGGCAATGCCTGCCAGTTACCAAAGCAACAGGCAAGCCAGGAGCACCAGCTGGTTTGGTATTGTTATGCAGGGGTAAGCCTGCAGCAGGGTCAACCAGGCCGCCACAGAGACTGTCAGCACCATTTCTATTGGTAACGCACTGTTGCCGCTTGCAAACAGCATGACTATGACTGTTGCAAACCATTGTGTGACTTGGTGATAGCTGTAAATACTAGTAGCTTGGCCAAATTCACATTTATGCAGAAGGTGAGGGGAAATCGCACTGTTCTTCCTCTGGCTTAAACCGCTTTGCCTTGGCTGGTGCTGCTCAGTAGTTAGAGGGTCTTGAATTTGACTCCCAGTCATGTACCTGGGCATGTACCTGGGTTGCAGGTTTGATCCCCAGCCCCAGTCAGGGTCCGATGTGTCTCTCTTATATCAATAGTTCTCTCTCTCTTCCCCTCTCCCTCCCTTCCACTGATTCTAAAAATCAATGGGGAAAAAAAATCCTCGGGTGAGGATTAAAAATAAAAGCAGCTTTTCGGGCACTTTTAATTTTAAGAAAGTGCGTTTTGGGAACTTGGATAATGAATTAAGAAACCAATCAGAACTGCAGACTGAGGATTTTAGGTTAGTTAGAGAAGACGAAGGAACAACCATTAACTATGTTTCAGAAGCCCTTCAGACCAGTACTGTGAGGGACAGCTGTGCAGTCACAGAGTGAGGAGTCAGACGTGGTCACACGGGCTGGAACATGGACATGGCAGTGAGAATACTTTGTGACCATCCTCATCACTACCCTCAGAGCTAGCTTTCCTACAGCGAGGAGGGGAACACCGGCGCCTTACACTTTCCAAGAGGCCCGTCCTGACTGGCCAGGAAAGGGGGGAAGCCCCGAGACCCCACTAGTGAAGACTGGGAAGTGTCCCCCAGAGGACTGGACCGGCCTCAGCCGCAGAGGGACAGTGAGAGCTACTGGCCCGAAGACTGTGGTCCAAGGGTCCCTGAGCCAGCAAGAGTCCTTCCTCCTCACATCAGGAAACAGACACTCAGAACGCTGCCTGCGTGGCCTGTCTGAAGAAACGAGTGACATGGCTCCAGAGCCAGGGAGGGGAGACCAAGATCAGACAAATGGCAGAACCACCATACCTCCTCCTCCTCATCACTGCCGCCGCCACCGGCACCACCAAAGACGCTACGCCCAACACTCAAGAGGAGGGCGCTCTTGAACTAGGGATCTCACCCACACAAACTTGCTCATTTTGGGAAATTTAAAAAATACCAAGTTCTCAATTTTTCAAAATGAAAATATTACAAAATTATATGGTAATCCTGTAAAACAAAGTAAACTTGGAAAACAATGTTTACCAATGTGACTCACTGGAAAAATTTATAAACACTTGAGACTGTAAGTCAGCAAGAAAAGCAAAACACCAGCATCCTGACACCAGGCACAGCTCTCCCCGCAGTGACTGAGCCTCCCGCTCAGAAGGGGCAGTTAGGCCCAGGCTGTGCTCACCCTCACGACAGAGCTTCCCGTGAACTGCGGGGCTGTCTGTCATCTCCCACAACTCCTGTCCTGAATTATCGCCCCAAGAAGAGAAGCTCCTGGAGAGAAAGAATTGCCTCTTTAAACCACGTCCAAGGAAAGGACACAAACCCACACAGGGCACTGCAGATGGGCGAGGCAGGAGTGGCCGAGGCTAGGACTGGCTAGGTCACAGGGGCCTTTTCCAGATCAGAGGGCAGGGACAGAACCAAGGCTGCAGGCTTCCAGATAAGCCAGGAATGGGGCATCAGTAACCTTTGCCAGACACGTCACTGCACAGTCTGCGGTGCAACCCCAACAAATGATGGGAGAGACTTGGGGAGACTTATGTGAAGGGTGAAAGGCCACCCCTCCAGGCGGCCCTGGTTTTACCCCGGATCAAGCATTAACAACAATGGACCTATGGCACAACAATGTTGTCATCAGCAGCAAAGTTATGTGCGTGGAGTGCTCCCTGGGCAGTATGCCCCTGGCTTACAGGAGGCACCAGGCACAGATGGCAATGGCTCAGGGCTCATTCTTAAGGATGGCTAGTCACAATTATAGTGACATCATCAACAAAATCTGTTATTTTTTTGTTTTTATTAGTTCATCCTCAACAGAGGACATTTTCCCATTGATTTATAGGGAAAGTGGAGGAGAGATGGACAGAGAAGAACATGAATGTGAGAGAAACACATTATTTGGTTGCCTCCTGCACGAGCCCCAACCAGGGCCTGGGCCGGGGAGGAGCCTGCAAACAAGGTACGTGCCCTTGACAGGAACTGAACCCGAGACCCTTTGGTCCACAGGCTGAAGCTCTATCCACTGAGACAAACCGGCTAGGATGCCAACAAAATCTTTAAAAACTATGAGAAAACAAGTGTTTTGGCTGGTCAGTGTAAGTCAAATATCTAATGGTATTTATCATTTTTGTGATGAATGTCAGAACAAGAGGCACACCTATACTTGGGCTTTAAGAGCTCCGGGGGCCCTAACCAGTTTGGCTCAGAGGATAGAGCGTGGACTCAAGAATTCCAGGTTCAATTCTAGTCAAGGGCATGTACCTTGATTATGGGCACATCCCCAGTAGTGCAGGCGGCAGCTGATCGATATTTCTCTCTCATTAATGTTTTTACTCTATTCCTCTCCCTTCCTCCCTGTAAAAAAAATCAACAAAAATATATTGTTTTTAAAAAGTGCAGGAAGATCATGCTATCTACACATGCAAACATGATAAATGCTGGGGTTGACATGCTGCTCTGTGATTTGTCTGAGCACATCTTTTATCTGATCTATTTTCACATTGTAATGTTTGAACTATTCACCTCCAAAAGGTGTATTCTAAAACAAACGAGGGAAGAAATACGTAACCAGAAAAACTCACCAGATAGTTATTCATCTTCTGGGGCTCTTGGAAAAATGATGATGTGAAACCAGAGGCAGACCTGGAGAAGGAACACACAGGCGACGAAGTCAGCGATGTGGCCAGCCAAGGAAGTACTCTTCCTGCCTAAGAACTCGCCAGACACCTCGGGAGACTGTCCCTTTAAACCTTCAGAAGTGACAGGAAATGAGGGAGAGCCCACCTGCTGGTCTGTAACTCCCACATCACTATGTGGTGACTGCATGGATGCATCTCTCATTAGTGAATGAACGCCAAAGCCTAGTGAAATAACCCCCCTCATTCAACACTGGAGGCCCCGTGCACGTGCACAGGTGTGGTCCCTCGGCCTGGCACGCGCCCCTTCCCAATCCGGGAACCCTCAGATGGTGCAGTGCCATGTCTGCCAGTTTCCACCCAATCCCTGCAGCCCAGGCTGAAGGCCCCACTGGTGCACAGGGCCTCTAGTAGGCACGTAAGATCTTTGTTTAGCCTCTTCCCCCCTCCCTTCTTCCTTCTGAGATTCCCCAGTCTGGTCCGTGTTTCCATGCATGTGCGTTGAGCCTCTGTCCCCTGGTGGTCAGTACGCGTCATAGTTACCTGACAGTTGGGGATAGGTGGCTTAGGCTTTTATATACAGAGAAGATAAAGAGAAATTTTACAGTCATCTATTTTTTTTTTTTTTTTTACTCTTTTAACAACTTAAGATCAGTAAGTCTGCAGGATGCTCTGAATAAAGGGATACACTCCAGCAGGGCTAAGTCTAAATTTTTTGTACAAATTTGAGAACAAAAAAAAAAAAATCTCTTAAGAAACTTTAACTATTATAATACATGGCAAAACACTTGCCCGGGGAGGGCGGGAGGGTGGAGGGGGGGGGGGTGTCTGAGTCCTGTTGGCAATCCCACCGACACAGGGACACCCGGCAAGTCCCCGCCCTCCTCAGGCCCCAGTTCTTCCGCAGGCACCCAGGCGGAGGACGCCCCCCGCAGGCTGACCGGAGGCGCTGCACCGGGACTGCCCCGGCGGCTCCAGGGCAGGGGGCACACGCTCAGGCCAGTGACCGCGGTCCTGGGGGACGATTGGAGACACGTTGGAACCCGGGAGGGCGAGGCGGAGGGAGGGGTGTTGGGGTGCAGGGAGGAGGGCACCGGCCAAGACCAGGCTGGGACCTCCTGTTCCCCCAGGAGACAGGCAAGACCCGAGTGCAGGGCGGCGCCCACCCAGCAGCCCGCCCCTCCGGGCAGACACGCGGGTCCCGGAGGCGGTCCCCGCTCCTCCCGCAAACTCGCGTGTCCCGGTCCGGGCGAGTCCCAGCGCCGCTCACTGCGGGCGGGGAGACCCCCACCTCCCGGGCCGCACACGCCCGGGCCTCGCTCACCTGCCCCGAGGCTCCGCGGCGCCGCTTCTCCCCCGGGTCCCCGCCTCCCAAGCCGCGTCCCCGAGGCGCCGCGCTGGCCTTCGGGGCAGACTCACTCCGGAGACGCCCCCCCGGGCCTCGCCGCCGCGACGCAGAGGGCCCAGCCCGCCCCTCGGCCGCCGCCCCGCTCCTCGGCCGGGCCGCGGGCTCCGGGGTCGCCTCGGGGTCCCCGCTCCGCGCTCCCCCGCCCGCGCAGGCTCTGGAGCGCCCCGCCCGCCCGCTGGGCGGCGGCCCGACCGGACAGCGCGCAGCCCCGCAGGCCCCGGGTCCTCGCCCAACTGAGGCCGAAGCGGGGCACCGGGGGCAGCGGTGACCGGGGCTCGGACAGGAAGCCACAGCGGCGCTGCGGCAGGGCGCCTGCGCGTACACGCACACAGCCCGAGCGCTCATGCGCACCAGGACGCCGGAAGTCGCCTGCCAGGGCCCTCCCGGGGCAGCGGGACTCCATTTCCCAGAAGTCTGCGTGCCGTCCAGTTAGGGAGCGTCTTCCAAGTCTCCAGCTGGTCTAACGGAGAACTCTGCGGGGAGAGCTGCGGCTTGGGCAGGACGCCAGGTTCCCATTTGTCTCTTCTGCAGTGTCTCAGTCCCTGTCCTCTCCTTTGGGGTTAGGGATTCCCCCACAATTGGACTCGGGCACAGAGCGGTGTATCATGTCCACTTACTGAAACACTAGGAGTTCCACTAAAATACCAGGAATCAGTAAATGCCCCGCTATGGCTTCTCCAGGGAAGGAAAGAGAATAGAAACTGTAGCTTTTGTAGATTTCACAACTAACGCATGAAACTATAAAAATCAGTAAATACTCACAATCGGAAAAAGGTGAGATCTTACCTGGGAAAGGATTGTTGGGCAAATGGGACCATAAGGACAATGATGAACACCTCTTTATGGTGAAATAATGCAACTGTGTTTTTGGCCACGTGTTTCCAAAAAGCTGATGGGGAGACAGGCGTGGGGGGGGGGGCAGGTTAGAAGTGGGGAGAAGGGGGATATATGTAATACTTTCAACAATAAAGATTTAAAAATAAAAGCAGGCAATCAATCACTCAAACAATAAAAGAAAAAGCTGACGGGGAGGATGTGGGGTTAAAAATAAAATCTCCTGCCCTGGCCGGTTTGGCTCAGTGGATAGCGCGCAGACTCAAGAGTCCCTGGTTCAATGCCAGTCCAGGGCATGTACCTTGGTTTCAGGCACATTCCCAGAAGGGTGTGTGCGGGAGGCAGCTGATCGATGTTTCTAACTCTTTATCCCTCTTCCTTCCTCTCTGCAAAAAAATCAATAAAATATTTTTTGAAAAGAAAAGAAATGAGGGTATTGTAGAAATTTCAGGGAGGCGAGGAAGGGAACAAAAGATGAGCTCATGGAGGAAGAGGAGCTCCATGACGCAGGGTCATGGAGCAGAGCACCTGAGAGAGGGGACACAGGATGCTTGCACTTCCAGATGTCAAGCTCCGGTGACCCCAGGCAGTGCCTGCTCTGGCACACAGGTGTTTCACCAGCCAGAGGCTCCCTGAGCTTGACAACCTGGGTTTGCTACGGGGTTTCTTGTGTAGGCACTGGCCTGGTGTGCCAAGGAGCCCCGCATAGGGCAGGGACTTCCCCAAAGACCCGGGACAAGGGCCACCAGCATTCATTACACAACACACTGGGCATGGCCTGGGCTCTGCCAGCACTCAGGTGCCCAGGAAGGGAGACAGGTGTGGGTCTGTAACCGGACAGCCAATGGGTTCAGGCCACTGGTCACTGCTTGCGCCAATTCAGCAGAGACAGGTGAATCATACATGCGCATTCATTCCGGTCCTGCCGGCAGCAGGGGAGAGCAGCAGGCCATCCACACACATCTGCTCTGATCCCCCACCCCCTCCCCCCGTAAGCCAACTGCCTGTATTGGGGAGGAGGACAAAGATCACACAGGGAAGTAGGAAAAGGCAAGCCAAATGGGTAGTGCAGGCTGGAGATTTGCCAAGGCCTGGGGGTCTTCACGGGGCTGGCGGCTCTGGTTTCTGCAACGAGGTTGCTAATCTTCCCAGGATAACAGGCAGCTCCCGGGTGGGGAGGACGGGCCACCTCTCCAGGTGAGCTCCCCGATCCCAGGTGAGCTCCCAGGCAGGTGTGCTCCCGGGTCCCAGACGTGCTCCCGGGTCCCAGGTGAGCTCCCCAGTCCCAGGTGAGCGCCCGGCTCCCAGGTGAGCACCCTGGTCCCAGGTGAGCTCCCAGGCAGGTGAGCGTGTGCCTTCTCTAATCAGAACAAAGCAATCCGGGTCCCCAGCGCGGGATCCACATTTCTTACAATTCCAGCGGGCCCGCAGTGTCCTGGTGCTGCTCCTATCCGGTCCAGGGACGCTTTAGGCCAGAACTATGACCGGGAGACACGGAGGAAGTGAGGAGTGAAGTGACAGGTGCTCGCAGGCCACTGGAGCAGCTCGGGGGATGCAGAACTCCAGGAGCTGGTGCAGCTCTGCAGAGGGGAGTAGCTGAGTGAAGAGAAGCCCAGGAGGGACCCTGTCTGCGTGTCAGGGGTGAGTTTCTTTTTCCCATAGGGGGAAGGCATCCAGACTAACACTCCATGATGTGATCACAGAACTTCATTTACTAATTTTTTTTAAAATATATTTTATTGATTTTTCACAGAGAGGAAAGGAGAGAGATAGAGAGCTAGAAACGTCGATGAGAGAGAAACATCAACCAGCTGCCTCTTGCACACCCCCTACCTGGGATGTTGCCCACAACCAACGTACATGCCCTTGACCAGAATCGAACCTGGGACCTTTCAGTCCGCAGACCGACGCTCTACCACTGAGCCAAAATGGTTTCGGCTCCATTTACTAATATTTTAATCAAATGCCGCACTTGTCGGTGAGCATGATACAGCCCTTTCCCCGTTTTGTCAGGGCTGTTAATGGTTCCTGATTCTAATCCATCAGCTCTCAGATAACCAAAGGGCAGGGCGCCCAGACACGTGGTGCAGCGTCCACATGACAGACATTTCCTTAAATCACGGGGAACATTGCCTGCCGCCTCAGAGGCCAGCTCTCCCCATACAGCGCTTCTCCGCCGCTGGACAAGGTGGAGACTTGGAAGACGCTCCCTAAAGGGACAACACGCAGACTTCTGGGAAATGGAGTCCCGCTGCCCCGGGAGGGCCCTAGCAGGCGACTTCCGGCGTCCTGGTGCGCATGAGCGTTCGGGCTGTGTGCGTGTACGCGCAGGCGCCCTGCCGCAGCGCCGCTGTGGCTTCCTGTCCGAGCCCCGGTCACCGCTGCCCCCGGTGCCCCGCTTCGGCCTCAGTTGGGCGAGGACCCGGGGCCTGCGGGGCTGCGCGCTGTCCGGTCGGGCCGCCGCCCAGCGGGCGGGCGGGGCGCTCCAGAGCCTGCGCGGGCGGGGGAGCGCGGAGCGGGGACCCCGAGGCGACCCCGGGGCCCGCGGCCCGGCCGAGGAGCGGGGCGGCGGCCGAGGGGCGGGCTGGGCCCTCTGCGTCGCGGCGGCGAGGCCCGGGAGGGCGTCTCCGGAGTGAGTCTGCCCCGAAGGCCAGCGCGGCGCCTCGGGGACGCGGCTTGGGAGGCGGGGACCCGGGGGAGAAGCGGCGCCGCGGAGCCTCGGGGCAGGTGAGCGAGGCCCGGGCGTGTGCGGCCCGGGAGGTGGGGGTCTCCCCGCCCGCAGTGAGCGGCGCTGGGACTCGCCCGGACCGGGACACGCGAGTTTGATAAATCAAACCATGCCACCAAGCACATGTATCCCATTTCTGAGAGCACATACTCTGTTCCTCTGTAATGGTTGGTTTTTAACGGAAAGAAAAGTAAGGAAATAGGTAAACTGTATGGCAGGTCCCCCCCCTCCTCCTCCAATCACCACCTTTTTATTTAATGGGGCGGCTGTTTGAAAACGGAGTCTGTTTATAGTCACCAATGAGAGGGACCTGTCATTCCCTCCATCCCTTTGGGCGGGGCAGTGGTTTGGGTGTGTCTGTCCTCTGTCACCCTGGAGCCCTTTCTGAGTGTTCATCGGGCATCATTCTATTGCGTTTTCTTTGGTGATTCTTTTTTTTTTTTTTTTTTTTTTTTTTTTTAATATTTCTTATTGCTTTCTTATAGAGAGGAAGGGAGAGGGATAGAGAGCCAGAAACATCCATCAGCTGCCTCCTGCACACCTTCCACTGGGTATGTGCCCACAACCAATGTATGTGCCCTCGATCAGAATTGAACCTGGGACCTTTCAGTCCGAGGGCTTATGCTCTATCCACTGAGCCAAGCCAGTGATTCTTTCGCAGAAGGTTCCCGGCTACACAGGCCAGGGCCTAGGGTACCCATGACTTCACTGACTTGCTTGTTCTCTCCCAGGTCCATTGCGAACTACCTCTGCACGTTCCCAAGAGCCGCCGAAATGCATGAGTCCCAGGTGAGTTCCCACTTGGCTCTGTAAGACCGCTTAGGGAGTTTCAGGGCCCCATACTTTCACCTGGGAGCAGAGAGCGAGGGAAAAGACTGTGAAATGCAGCTCAGAGAGTGTCGCCGATCGCCACCAGAATCCTTTGTGAGTTCACCCGTCCAGGTAGCATGATACTGTAGGGCGAGTGAGATTGAGCTGCAAAGATAGCCAGTGCCCTTGGCCGTCATAGGAAAAGGGAAATACCATCCTTTAGGTGGTTTGTATAGACAATAGGAGACTGTGGTTTGTTAGTTGTGGGTTGTAAAGATCTCCTAGGACTTGGGAATTTTTCTTTAATAAAGTTGATAAAGCGTAGATAGCTTTAAAACAGCCAGAACGTCATTGCAGTATATGGCTTGTACTCGCTTTTTTAAGCGGAGGGCCTCCTGCCCAAGGGAACGATATTTTGTTTTTTTCAGGCACCAAAATATTGTGATGGAAATAGACACATTTCCATTGTTACATCGAAGTCAGGGCACCGGCATGTTTGTCCTCAGACATGCCTGTCCGTCTGTGTATCTGGTTGCCCAGAAAACAATGCAAAACCAGTATCCTCTGGTCAGGGTGTCCTCACCCCCCGTTCCCACTCAGGCCTCAGGGGCTGGGCTTGGTCCTCCCCACTTGCCTGCATCTGTCGGTGAGGATTAGCCATGACCTAATTATAGCCAAATCCTGGGCACATGTGCCATCCTTTCCTCACGTGACACCATCTGCCTTTGGCATCTGTTTCTTCCATACTGATACTTCCTCCCTTCACTGGGCTTTAAAAAAAATCCTGTCTTTCTCTATGTGTCTCTGAAAGATCAAAGGGCTTTCCAAAGTCGGTGGGGATAACACAATACTGTTCTTCATTCTGTAAGATCCGGTGTTCCAAATTCCAGTTTTCTGAATGGTTTTTTATTTGTCCTTTTCAATCAGGACACAGATAGAGGCCATACATTGCAGTTGGCCTCTTTTAATAATAACTGCCCCTTTCTGTCTTGTGTTATTTTGAGGAAATTTGTTTCCTGAAGACGTTGGGTGTGCTGAGAGGTCGCTGGTTGATTCCGGGTCAGGGCACATGCCCGGGTTGTGGGCTAAGTCCCCAGTGGGGGCGTGCAGGAGGCAGCCGATGGATGTTTCTCTCACCTTCTCCCTTCCTCTCTAGAAATCAAAAAAGTCTTTTAAAATGTTTACAAAGTAAATTGGGTTAACCTCAGTTTGCCCCCATCTGGACCGTGCTGATTGATTGCTGTCCGTGTAACTTTGCTTTTTAAGTGCCGGTACTCCTGGTAGTGCTGGCAGTGAGAGGCGGAATTCACTCAGGCTTGGATCCTGTTCTTTGGGAAGACTGTGCTGAGACATGTCCTCTTCCTCCGGAGGCCCTGTTACCTTCCTGTGGTGTCTTGGATGTTGGCGTCTGTGGACTGACATCCGTTGTCCAGATCCACGAATTCGCTCGGGGAGGCCAGCTGGGGATGTGCTTCTTTACCGTTTCTGCTTCGTTTGCAAACTGGGGTCCGCTTCTCGGGAAAACATGCCCCGCTGCCCTGTGATTCCTCGGGAAGGACAGTTCCCGGGGTCCTGAGCGGCTCCGCGGCCAGGGCTTTGGTTTCAGCCCGTCCTCTGGGAGCTCAGGGGTAACCAGTTGGGGGGATGGAGATGTTCCTCTTTCTGATGTTTAAGGGGGCCCATCTGTGAATCCCTTCGCAGCCGTTTCTGCTTCCTTCTGAAGCATTCCCTCTGTGTTTTATAGTAGTTTCTTTTATGCAACATTTTATTTGGAAAAGCTTCAAGTTTACAGAACAGTCACAGGGATGGTTCAAGAACTCCTCGTTCCTGTGGCCGAGAGGCTCAGTTTTTGACATTTTTAACATGTGCTTTATTATCTTCTCTGTGTGAGTTTTACATTTATTTCTGAGTTCTTCGAGAATGAGTGTCATGTCACGCCCCCTCCATCTGTATTTCAGATTTAAGCTTCTAAGATCCAGAATATTCTCTTACATATTCTCGGCACAGTTACTAAATTTAGGAAATCTAACATTGATATGATGCTTTTATCTAATCCATGGTCATCTTTCAGTTTAGCCAGTTCCCCAGGATTCCCTGTGTTTAAATTCTGGCAGAGGCTGCAGTCGGGATAGGAATCGCATCAGCTTTCTCCTCTCCTCTGTCTCACTCCTCCCGGCCCAGGCTGGCCCTTGCGGTGAGAGCTGTAGGGCCCACGCGTGCAGGTCCATCTCTCGGAATGGCTGGTGCTTCCCGTTAAAGAAAAATCCTGACTTTAGAACTTGAGAGGACAGAGGCATAGGTGTGTGCGAGCATGTGTGTCTGTATACATTTTAAAAGTGCAGCCGAAACCGGTTTGGCTCAGCGGTAGAGCATCGGCTTGCGAACTGAAGGGTCCCAGGTTCAATTCCGGTCAGGGGCATGTACATTGGTTACGGGCACATCCCCAATGGGGGGTGTGCAGGAGGCAACTGGTCGATGTTTCTCTCTCATCGACGTTTCTAGCTCTCTATCCCTCTCTCCCTTCATCTCTGTAAAAAAAAAAAAAAAAAAAAAAGTTGTAGGCTGCCGGTTTGGCTCAGTGGATAGAGCGCCCGCCTGCAGACTGAAAGGTCCCAGGTTCAGGACCGGTCAAGGGCATGTACCTTGGTTGTGGGTACATCCCCAGTGGGGGTGGTACAAGAGGTCAATCTTCCTCTCTGTAAAAAATCAATAAAATATATATTTTTTTAAAAAGTTGTAGGCTGTTACTAAGGATCTGGGTATTTTTTTTTCCCTCTGTAATTTTTTGGATTTTTTTTCCTTATCCTCTTGGCTATTTTATCAGGAAATTTCTGATCTCTGTACTTCCCCCAGTATTCCGCTCTGGGCCCTCTGAGTGAGGGGAGCCTGCATCTGCAGCTCAGAACCATTTCCGTCCTCCTGCAGGGTGTCCTGCTGCTCCTCCACCTCTGTCTTTCCGGAAACGCCCAGTCTGCTGGGTCTGGCTTCCTTATCGCAAGTTTTCTTCCATCGTTCCAGTTTCTGATTTGCTGAGGGACGTCCTCACATATATTCTGTCTCGTTTGTTATGCAAGCGTCTTTCTTGAGGATCTTGAAAAAATTCAATAATGCAGTCTCTAATTTCTAAGTATTCTCTGGTGGCTGTTTCTTAGCAGACTGTTCTCATTTTATGGAAGCAATATGTTGCTTAATTTATTAAAAGTACAAATCAATATAATGTTATACAAGTTGTTTTCTTTATGAATTTGATTGTGTTCTGGTTGGGTTATTCATTTTGATGTTTATCTTTTATTTATACTGTTTTCCTCAGCTGGTGAGTTTTGACGTTTTTAATTTCAGTTTCTGAGAGAATTGTTGCCGCTAACGTGAGCATATCAGTGAATGAGCCTTTTGTTCCTCTCCCTGGACGGAGGGGATGGCTACAGCAGGGCTGGGGAGGGATGTGGGTGGCACATTTCCCCTCAGATTTTACTGTGTGAAATCCCCACAACACAGAACGTGCTCTCTTCACCTTTCACATGCTGGTTCAGTGGAGTTAATACATCCACATTGCTGGGCGGCCATCCCCCGTCCGCTCCAAATGCTGCTCAACTTGCAAACCTGAAACTGTGTGTGAACCACGAACTCCCCACCTTCCCAGCCCCCAGCAGCCCCGGCCGCCGTCTGTCTGTGAACCTGACTCCTGAGGGCGCGAGCGCGGGTCCGGGACGCACCCAGGACTGTGTCTGTGTGACGGGTTCACTGGGCATGAGGTCCTGCCCTCCATTCAGGTGCTCCACCTGCCAGCTTCCTTCTCGCCAAGCGGAACAGCGCTCCGCCCGTGTGGGCGCAGACCAGGCCGTGCTCACCCAGCCGCCCGGTCACGGGCACGGCCACTCCCTGCCAGCGTGGGAACGGCGCTGGGCACAGGCCGGACACGTGTCTCCAGGCCTCGCTCCCGTTGCTTGGGGCGTGACCCAGAGGTGGGCTCGCTGGGTCACGTGATCACTGGTTTTGTGGAGGAGCCGTCAGGCCCCTCTGACCCGCAGTGCAGGGCCCCAGTCCTCCACACCTGTATGGGGCCCCGCTGGCGCCCGGCGGCTTCCGTGGCGCTGGCTCCCTGCTGCTGCCTCCGAGGAGCCACGCTCGGAGGGAGAGGTGACTGTGCTGCTCTGCCTGAGAGGCCTCGGGGTAACGTTCCTCCGTCCCATCTGCCTAGTCACTTGCCTGACAGCTCTGCTTGGAAGTGGGTACGTGTCACCCTGGTTAGGGGTCTGGAGTGCGATGTGCCTCTGTCGTGACCGCAGGCTTTCCCAGATCCAGCTCGTCGGGCTGCTCTGCACGCCGCGAGCAGGAAGCGCGGCTGCCGTGTCCTGTGGCGGTGCCAGTCGGCCAGGCGCTGTGCCCGGACCTCCGGCTGGGCCTGGGCACGCTCGGGCTCTGTGTGAGTCTGTCCCCTGGGCTGCAGCCCAGCGCCTGCCTGTCCAGCGTGCCCACGGCTTGGTTTCTCACCCCCTCCCGCCTCCGGATCCGCTCAGGGAGGCCCGCTGTGGGCAGCCAGCGTCCGCGCTCCTGGGAGGGGCTCGGTCGGCACATCTCTGTGAACTGGGCTTTTGGGTTTGTCTTGGGCTGGAAAGGAATGGTGTGTGTTCAGCTTCCACTTGAATTAGGATCCCTTCCTACCGTGCACAGTGTCCTCAGCAAAGTGCCCTCCCGCCTCTGCCCGGGCCAGCCCTGGCACTGATGCTGCTTCTGTTTTTGCCATCGGCACTTCTTGCCCCTCCTCTTCCTTCTCTTCTCCTGCGGAATACCCAGGGGAGCCCGGCGCCTGAGCTGCAACAGGAAACGTCAATACTTTGCTTCTTGCATGCATCACTCGATAGCACCCGGGCGTGCGTGCAGACAGCAGTTATCCCTGCTGTGAGCATGTGTGCTGGGAAAAACCCCGGGGGCAGGAGAAGCTGAGCCGTGCGGAGAGCTGGCTGTGACTGGGTCCGAGGCTCCGAGCTGGCCGTGGAGAGCCGGAGAGGAGGGTGAGGAGGAGAGCAGGGAGGGTCGCACGCGAACAGCACCGAGAGGCCGGGAAGAGGAGGGGCCCCGGCAAGGGCGCCTGCAGATCTGACAGGGACGCGGGGTGCTCCCCCTGCTGCTGCTGTCCGGTCACTTCCTGAGCAGCAGCGACGCCCCCGCTCAGGGCTCCGCTGTGAATCAGAAAGCAGGCCCTTTGGTTTGAGGGTTTTGTCATCATTTTTTGACACAAGAAGGAACCCGAATGCCGTGCGTTTCTGACATGGTTCGTTCCCTTCCACAACCTGTAACACAGAAGGGACACGGGCCCTGGCTGCCTCTGCCGGGGACCCGGTAAGCTCTTGTCCCCGGACGCCTCGTCCACGTCACCAAGTCCCATCGCGCTGCTGTTACAGGAGCCGGTGTCGTTCAAGGACGTGGCCGTGGCCTTCACCCAGGAGGAGTGGCAGCAGCTGGGCCCGGAGCAGAAGACCACCTACAGGGACGTGATGCTGGAGAACTACAGCCACCTCGTCTCCGTGGGTGAGCAGACGGCTCCCTGACTGCTGCTGGGCCAGGGGCCGGGGGGGGGGGGGGGGGGGTTCTACATCCACGATTTTATCCTCAGGTTTGAAGAAATAGGATTGGATTCCTTTTGGGCACCAGGTAGAGTGCTTGTATCTCTGCTTCTCCATCAGAACGTTCTAACTTTGCCCTGGGTGGTGTAGCTCAGTGGTTAGAGGTTGGCCCGTGCACTAGAGGGTTGTGGGTTTGATTGACCATACCCAGATTGCAGGTTCGATCCTGGCCCCTGACAGGGTATGTGTGGGAGGCAACCAATTGATGTGTCTCTCTCACTTCAACGTCTCTCTCTCTCCCTGTCCTGTTCACTGTCTCTAAAAATCAATGGAAAAAGACATCCTCAAGTGAGGATTAGCAAAAAATAAATAAAACCAATAAGGTGCTATGTAACCTCCAGGCAGCGCCCTCCCTGCAGCTGCTCCGTCTCCTCCCCCGCAGGGTACCACAGCGCCAAGCCCCGTGTGATCGCCAGGCTGGAGCAGGGCGAGGAGCCGTGGGGGGCGGACGGGGACGCCGCGTGTCCAGGTGAGTGAGGAGCGGGTCCCGTGTTCAGAAATGGCCCCGGGCCTGGGCGTGCCCGCGTCTCGGTGCCTTGGCTCCCCGTTCACAGCCCCGAGACCCAGGGGCAGCTCCCTCCGCACGTGTCCACAGTTTCCTGTGACCGTCCCGCCTCTGGCTCTGAGTTCTCAGTGACTCAGCTGCTCCGGGCACCACAGACTTCCTCGTCCGCAGGTGTCAGAAGGTTGACGAGAGAGGCTTTCGTGTTCTCTCTACGGAGGTCCGAGGCCAGCACCCCCAAGGCGTGTGCTGTGCTGTTGGGAGGATCGGACACAGCTCCCCGCTGCGTCCCTGCTGATCGGGGGGCCGCGGCGCTGGCCGGCCACCTCCCTCATGGCTCCTCCTGCTGTCTGTCTGCTCTCCTGGGTGATGGCAGCCGCTGGGGAAGGGGGTGTCGTCAGCGGGATGGTTCCTCCTCTTCCTTCCTCAGGAGGCTGACCTGGGCCTGCTCTCCACACCGTTACTTTTCTCTGGGCTCTTAACAGGGTTCGTTCGGTCCCCATGTTAGGACTCTGGGTTTGTGTTTATGCTGCGGATCCAGCTGCCTCCTAACCCTTCACTGTGGTCCCTGACAGAGGCCAGGCCAGGAGACGGCCCGCCTCCTCCATTCTCAGAAAGCACCCTCAGTGCTGTGGTCCTCCCGCCCCCCTCTGCTTAGGCATGTGCAGTGAGCACAGGAGCCAGGCTTGCGGAGCAGCAGGGTTTGGAGCCAGGGCAGTGCTGGTTTGACTGGAGCTATGAATCCCGGTAATGACAGACTCACTGGTGAATGGACTTCTCTGATCTTTCCTGTGTGTTTTGGGGGCTTTTGGGCTCAGGATTGTAGGTTTCAGAGCAGGTTCTCGGGATTGCGGTGAGTGTGGGCGAGAGTGGCTGACAGCAGTTTAGACGATCCCATAATCTGTAAGTTCAGATGTTAGGGGCAACTTTTGGAATCTTTTTTAAGGTTTTACACCAAATGAAACCCAGGAGTGTGGGAACTCTTATTTTAAGTGTTGAGAATTGAGTTATGGTGTTGTGTCAGGGACATGACTGCTTTTAGGAAGTTTAAATCAGAAATTGAAGGAAAATTAACGGTGGACCTTAACAGGCTTTTGTTGTGTCCAACCATTCTAAGCAGATGCGTGAGCTAACGGGATTAGTCTGTTCCCAACCCCATGGAGTAGGCACCCTTGCCCCCATTTCAGTGAGTGAACCTGCATCAGAGTTAAGTCACCTGCTCAGGTCCCCAGCGCGTCGTGTGTCTGTGTTGGGGTCCCAGTACCCTGACTACTGGGCTCTGTTGTGCAGACAGGTTCAGTGGGTGTGAAATAAGACTGTGCACCCTTCAGAGCGCTGATCTCACTGGAAAGGTCTCCTGCTGTCCAGTCTTCTGTTGTTGGGACATTTCTGTGCAGGGAACTCTCCTTCTTGGTGAATGTGTTCAGGGCTGGGGGGCTGGGATCCTGGTTGTGGGCTGTCTCTAAACATGAGGAACATGGAGCTTTTAGAATGTTCTTTTGAATTTCTATGCAGAATAGCAAGGCAAAGATTTTGGGAGGAGCTCTGCTGGTGAGGATGTTACCATGGTAATCCTGTTGTGGAGTGATAGTTCACAGTTTAGTATAAAATTGTAATCTGCTTTTCCCAAGCGTCATCCATCCTTGAATGTTTCCTTTGAATATACATCCAGCCGTTGCTCTCCCGCTGCCCCATGTGCTCTGCCTGGGTCTAGCACTCTTCCAATGCCTTCATCTCTGCTCACCACTGTGCTTGTTTATTATATCTTTTATACCAGAGTTTGAACATGTTTGTAAAGTGAATTTATTATTTCTTTATCCACTAATATTGAGTCCTACCCCACTGTTATCCTTTCCCAATGATTCCCCTAGCTCTGCCCGTGTGTGTGTCTGTGTGTGTGTGTGTGTATGTGTGTGTCTGTCTTGAATGACAAATCAAGGGGAAAAGAGGATTATACATGTGAGTTATTTTTTATTTGTGGAAATTGGCCTAAAAGCCAAGAGTTAACCCCACAGTAGGGTAATTGAGTACCACTCCTATCCTGTAACTGGTATATTCAGATTCACAAGGTTTATTTAACTTTATTCCTTTTCAGAAGAAATCAAGAAATTTGATGATGTATTAGAAAGAATCCAAGAAAAGGAAGATGAACGTTCAAGGCAAACTATTTATATAAATAGTAAAATCTTAATTGAAGAGAGAGAGAATACATTTGATAAAACTTATAATACAGAAGCAATCTTTGTTCCTTCAAGCATATCTCATAATTGTGTCTCTTGTGGAAAAAATGTAGAATCTAGTTCAGAATTAATTATTGGTGACGGAAGCTATGCAAGAAAGAAATCTGATGAGCTTAGCGAATGTGGGAAAACACACCATGGAGAGAAACCTTATGAATTTAATCAAAATGGGGAAGACTTTTCTCAAAATGAAGAAAGTATTCTTCAGAAAGTTAATGTTTTAGAGAAACCCTTTGAGTATAATGAATGCATGGAAGCCTTAGACAATGAAACCGTCTTCATCAGTCATAAGAGAGCTTATACTGGGGAGAAGCCCTGTGAGTGGAGCGACTCTGGACCAGACTTTCTTCAGATGTCAAACTTTAATATGTACCAGAGATCACAGGTGGAAATGAAGCCCTTTGAATGCACCGAGTGTGGGAAATCCTTCTGTAAAAAGTCAAAATTCATTATACATCAGAGGGCTCACACAGGAGAGAAACCTTATGCATGTAATGTATGTGGCAAATCCTTCAGCCAAAAGGGAACCCTCACTGTACATCGGAGATCACACCTAGAGGAGAAACCTTATAAATGTAACGAATGTGGGAAAACTTTCTGTCAGAAGTTACATCTCACTCAACATTTGAGAACTCACTCAGGAGAGAAGCCCTATGAATGTAGTGAATGTGGCAAAACCTTCTGCCAGAAGACGCACCTCACCCTCCACCAGAGAAATCATTCGGGGGAGAGACCCTATCCATGCAACGAGTGTGGGAAATCCTTTTCCCGCAAGTCGGCCCTCAGCGACCATCAGAGGACACACACAGGAGAGAAGCTCTATAAGTGTAATGACTGTGGGAAGTCCTACTACCGAAAATCTACCCTTATCACACATCAGAGAACACACACAGGAGAGAAACCTTACCAATGTAGTGAGTGTGGAAAATTCTTTTCTCGAGTGTCGTACCTCACTATACATTACAGAAGCCATTTAGAAGAGAAACCCTATGAGTGTAATGAGTGTGGCAAAACCTTCAATCTGAATTCAGCCTTCATTAGACATCGGAAAGTACACACGGATGAGAAACCCTTCGAGTGTAGTGAATGTGGAAAGTTTTCTCAATTCTCCTGTCTTACTGACCGTCATACAGCTCATTTAGGAGAGAAACCCTATGAATGTAATGAATGTGGAAGAACTTTCCTTGAAAACTCAGCCTTTGGTGGACGCCAGTCACTTCCAGACGGAGAGAAGTCCTATGAATGTAATATATGTGGAAAATTGTTCTCTGATTTGTCATACTACACTGTACATTATAGGAGTCATTCAGAAGAGAAGCCCTATGGGTGCAGCGAATGTGGGAAAACTTTCTCCCATAATTCATCCCTCTTTAGACACCAGAGAGTACACACAGGAGAGAAGCCCTATGAGTGTTATGAATGTGGTAAGTTCTTTTCTCAGAAGTCATATCTCACCATACATCATAGAATTCATTCAGGAGAGAAGCCTTACGAATGTAGTAAATGTGGGAGAGTCTTCTCTCGGATGTCAAACCTCACTGTACATTACAGAAGCCATTCAGGAGAGAAACCCTATGAATGTAATGAATGTGGGAAAGTCTTCTCCCAGAAGTCATACCTCACTGTGCATTACAGAACTCATTCGGGAGAGAAGCCCTACGAATGTAATGAATGTGGGAAAAAATTCCACCACAGGTCAGCCTTCAACAGCCACCAGAGGATCCATAGGCGGGAAAATGTGAATGTGCTCAATGAGGGGAATCTCCTGTGAAAGTCAGGCCTCATTTTAGAAAAGCCCTCTGAATAATAATTTGGAGTCAGATATGATCTGAGAGTTCATGTTTTTGAACAGGGGAAAACATTCAGATGTTAGGTTCATTTTCATCTGACTTTTCACAGAAGGAGAGTTCCTAAGAAGGCAACAGGAAGAAATGCCTTTGGCAACACGCTACAACTCATTGGACACTAGATAATTTATACAGGAGTCAATTTTATAAATATTTAATATTTATTTTTGACTAACGTATTTATATATCAGGGAGTCATACCAAGGCAAAGTCTTGTCAAAACTGATAACTGTGGGGAAATATTTTGTCTTGGAAAATATTATACCAAAAGCCATATTTCTGATGTAAAATCACATGTTTATAGGAAAGATGTCAGAAACTGTCACCTCTAAACTTCTATTGTATAAAATGAAGTTTTCAAAGCATCAGGACTTGATAATAAGGTCAGTAGCATTAAATACCTATGTGGAAGTTTATATCATATTTTAAAAATGCAATCTAATAACTCTATGCAAGTTTGGATTTGAATAATTTATGAGAAGGCAATATTCTTATTTGTGTATTAAAATGGCAAAATGTTGGTGAGATGTTTGGCAATTACAAATAGTTAAATGCATAAGTTTCTATTATTTTCAGGCACTTATAAATGGGTTTCTAATAAATGTCTCACCAATAGTGATTTTTGTATTTTTCAACTACATTTGAGAAAAAAAAAAAGGTTTTAAAACATACTATTTTCATAAACAATAATAGATAAAGACAACTCTGCTGCTCTTACTCTATAAAATATGCCCAGCTCTGATCCCATCCCTGTTTTTTAACCCACACATTTGATTGTGCAGTGTGCCTCAGAAGCGTTATCTATACTTTTTGTTTGATATGAATACAGTGTCGTTATTTTGTGCACTGCCCCTTATTCCCAGTATTTGGGAACAAATTAATACACGTTTCTAGCAGACATTTTTTTTTTTTAACTTGATGTCCTTGCTCTTCTCTTGCCTTGATGGAAGAGTTTGGTGTCTATCATTTCTTAACATGACTCAGAGGGTAAGTCCTGGTTAGTCTAAACCAGTCGTGATGATCCATTTTGATTGCCTGTAGCTCTTTCATCGTAGTTGCTTGGCCCCAACCTGGGGAGACAGAGTGATTAGATGTGTCTTACTCCAGGAAGGGGAGAGTTTAATAAAAATCAGTAACCGTGATGCCACATGAAGGAAAGTAGTCTAGCAGGCAGGAAACAAATGTGGTGACATCGCCATTCACCTGTGTTCTTCAGTGGAATACGGAGTATCTTAAACTACAGTCAGCAACATGCTTAGTGGGGAAATATTGAAAGTTTTCTCCCAAGATTAAAAACAACAACGCAGCCGAAACCGGTTTGGCTCAGTGGATAGAGTGTCAGCCTGCGTACTGAAAGGTCCCAGGTTTGATTCTGGTCAAGAGCATGTTCCTTGGTTGAGGGCACATCCTCCATAAGGGGTGTGCAAGAGGCAGCTGATCGATGATTCTCTCTCATTGATGTTTCTAACTCTCTATCCCTCTCTCTTCCTCTCTGTAAAAAAAATCAATAAAATATTTAAATAAATAAATAAATAAAAAACAACAACAGAACAAACAGACAAGTATATCTACTATCACTAATTTTATTCAGTACTGGTGACGTGTGCACAGATTCGTGCACATTGAAATGAAATTAATTAAAAGGTGACTGGTGGGACGGGAATAGTGTAGATGGGTCAGACATGCCCTGGAGCCAACTTCACACAGTCCCTCTGGCATCGTCAGAGTGAGGAGTTCCCTCCAGCGGGTGGGGTCCCTCTGCCTGGTCTGCAGGGATCAAGCCGAAACGGGCTCCGACATCCCCCGAGGGGTCCCAGAGTATGAGAGGGCACTCTGCTAAGTTGCTGTCATATAGGGTGTGGAATACAAATGCAAGTGAGCAGTAAACCAGATTCGGGACCAACCATGCCTCAGCCAGAACATAACCCACCACCGAAGGTGGACTCACGCGAGCAGCCTCGAGAGGAATTAGGCTCCCTCCTCTCTGGTTTCAAGGTGTGTTACCTGAGAACCACCCCTGCCAAGTCACTGCATCTCAGCAGCTCCTGTTTTGAGCATCTGCCCTCTGGTGGTCAGTGCACATCATAGTGACCAGGCGGAGGGACAAATAGCATATTAGCCTATTATATACATAGATGGTTATGCAGAAGGACCTGGCCAAGAAAGTAAGAGGAGACTTGTAAGCCAAAGGCTTACGATTTAGAATGAAATGGCATGATTTTGTATGTAGAAAAGTTTGAGAATTATACAATTAGAATTAATGAGTAAATTCAGCAAGGTCCCTGCATACAAATTCATTATGAAAAAATTGCTTTACTATACCAGCAATAAACATAGAAAATGAAGAATTTGGAAGCAATAGCACTTATAGTAGCATCAAAAATCCTCAAGTGCCTAGGGGAAAACTTACCTAACCGTGCTTTCAAGATAAAAACAAAAACAGTTGCAAAACAGAGAGGCATCCCTGGTGCATGAGTTCCCAGACAGATCCTTCATGTGGTCCTCCTACCCACCCCTGAAATGGTTAGCGTGAACAGCAAAGGGAAAGCATGTGTTGGCATGAATGTAAACAGCAGGAAGTCTGTGCTGCTGCTGGCATTGCCAATTGCTAGATTTTGGAAATCCGGTACTTCAAGCCAAACCCTTTTCCCAAACCTAGCAGAAACACGGGATGTCCACCAAAGACATGGACTGGAATGTTCGTGGTGTAAAACGCAAAACCCAGAGCTCTCTGAAGGCATGTATGCTGTAGGGTGAATGAACTTCATGGTATATTTCCCCTCAGAATGCTGTAATGCAGAGAGAATTAACATACAATTATGCAGCTTCATTTCACAAATAAAGTCAAATAACAGAATCCAGAGATAAAAGTGAACATCGTGTCTATTCCTTCTATTTACACTAGGAACAGGCGAAGTGTGTCTGTGCACTTAGACATCAGGAGAGCCGTTGGCCTGGGCACAGGCTGGGGGTGGTGGAGGGGGTCACTGATGGTGTACGTTGTATTTGAAATGTGGTGCTGACTATCCCAGTGTTCTGTGCACTCGGGATATGTGTGTTGTGTGTCTCTGCATGTGTGTGAGACTTCCATTAAAAGTGTTTAAAATCACAAATGCCTACCATTTCTGTTGCTCAGCATTCTTGCCATATTTTTCTAGATGAGTATGAATATGCTGCAGAACAGCAAGTAAATGGTAGATTTTGCATAATTCTGTGCAGGAAATACTCTTTATAGTAGTTTCCATGGCAACTGCTAAGATTTCCTACACTGTGACCATAAAGCTTAATGACTATAATGTATATTTTAAGTGAAATATTTAAAAGGTCATTATATGTTTTGTCATCCTACCCTTTGCATATATGAATGGGTCTGAACTGCCTCTTCAATAAAGAACTAATGTGTGTAAATGTTTCCTATTTTCTCAAATTGTTCACACTTCTGAGAAAGGGGTGCATCTTTTCGCTGTCACCAACGTGACCTTTGCAGTAAGAAATATGGCGGTGAGTTTGATTTGATGGAGAAAGGTATATTTTAAAGTTTTCAGGTAATCCTTTCAGATACACAGTTATCAGCACCAACGTGAGTGGGTAAAAGGAAAAAATTAAGACTTTGCACCATAAAAAAACAGCTCTTGCCTAGCCGGTTTGGCTCAGGGGATAGAGCGCTGGCCTGTGGACTGAAGAGTCCTGGGTTCAAGTCCAGTCAAGGGCACATGCCCCAGTTGCGGGTTTGATCCCAGTGGAGAGGGAGGGGGGGTGCAGGAGACAGCCGATCAATGATTCTCATCGTTGATGTTTCCTCCCTCCCTCTCTAAAATCAATAAATAAATATATATATATTTAAAAAATAAAGCTCTTGGTTGGGCTCAGCTGATGGCACAGATGACATTTGCTGGAGCGCATACTTGGTTTTATTTCCCCTTCCCCTGCAGCCTGAGCGGGATGTGTGAACAGGTGAACTGCGCCCCCTGCTGGGGGCGGGGTCAGCGGCGAGGTGAGGGCTGATCCCGCATTGGCTGCCTGTTCCCAGGCGAGCAGCCCAGCCAGGCGCTGCTTGGCCCACACAGCCCGCTCCTGTGGGCACGGGGCCCTGTCCCTCCCCATGTCCACTGCTCGGCGTGGGGCCAGGTAACTTCCAGTTTGTCTCCAGAGTCTCCCCGATGGATCAGAGAGCAATGCAAGGCCGCCTGTGCCTGAGGATTGCACCCCGTTCTGCTCCGTCCCGGTGGTACAGGAATGCTGTCACCCACGCGGCCCACAGCGGGGACACGGCGGCCCGCAGCACCTCACTGAGCACGTTAAACCGGGTGCCGGCCGCAGAGAAACGAGCAAAATGTGCGCCCCCCTCCCCGCGGCCTCAAAAGTCCCCGCACATGGAAGAGTTCACGGCTCCTGGCCAATCGGCAGCTGCGTGCACCTGCTGCTTGTGAGACGGGGGTGAGTGGGAGTCAGTCAGCTCCGCAGGGGGCAGGCGGTCCTGCGGGGGAGGTGGCCGGGCAGGGAGGGAGCGTGCAGAGAGCGTGGCATCTGCTGCGCGGAACTTGGGAAACGCACCCCCTGCTCCACGCGTGCGCCCATCGGCGGGCGGGCGGGTGTGCAGGTGGCGGCCCCCCCAGAGGACGGGGATGACCGAGACGGGGGGGGGGGCGGTCTTGCCGCGCTGGCCTGGGAGGTGCACGGGAGGTCGGCGACCCCCGCCGGCCGCGGTGGCTCTGGCCACGTGTGTTCTCCCGGGGCCACGCCGATCGCAGTGCCCTGGGCCTGTCCCCGCCGGGCCCGGGGCTCCGGGAGGTCGTCCTGTCGGGGGCTGAGGCTGCGGCCGCGGGAGGGACAGGAGCCGGAGCTCGGGGGCCCGCGGGCGGCTAGAGGGCGGGGATGCGCGGGCTAGAAACCGCTCCGCTCCGTCCCAGGGAGAGTTCTTCGTCCCGCCTGACGCCGTGATGTGGAGCAGACAGGAAAGGCTGCCGGAGCAGGGAAAGGGCAGGAGCTCCGCAGTGGGGACGGGGGCGTGGCTGTCACGTATGAGGGAGAAACAAGACGACCTGGAAAGGAAGGTCGGGGCTCTGAACAGGAGGGTCCGGGCGCAGCCCCTGAAAAGAAATGGGAGGATATTAGCCATCAAAGTGTGAGACGGCTCTATGAGGAGGCCATCATTCAAACATGACAGACCTGCCGCCTCCCTTTCTGGCCAGACTCACTGCTGCCTGAACAACTAAAAACGACAAAGCCGACGAATTGCGGCTTTCGGACACTGGACATGGGGTGCGGGCCAGTGACCCCGAGAGGAGAAAGTGACCCCGTGGTCTCCCCAGCGGACGGCCTGCAGGGACCGCCGGCCACAGTGCGGGACCCCCCCAGCAGCTGGGTGGTCTTGGGGCCGAGGAGGCAGCGTCGGAGGCCAGGGGGCTGGAACCCGCAGGGGTGACCGCGCCTGAGACCCCGCAGGCACCGGGCTCCTAGGACAGCTGGGCGGGGGGCTCACGTCGGGGTTGGGGCTCGCACCCGGGAAGAGGGACTCGGCGGGAGGGGACCCCGGGGTCCCGCTCACCATCAGGGTGGCCCTGGCTTAGGGGTGTGTCCCGTGGGGAAGGGCTTGTCTGGACGCTAAGGGTGCGATTAAAGAATGGGGGCGTGGCTACGGCCAGGGGCGTGGCCATCGCGAGGGGCGGGTGTCATGGGCTGGGCGGGGTTCTTGCGGGGCGTGGCCATCAGGAGGGGCGGATGTAACAGTGGTGGGCGTGGTTCTTGCGGGGCGTGGCCATCAGGAGGGGCGAGTGTAACAGTGGTGGGCGTGGTTCAGGCGGGGGCGTGGCCATCGGGAGGGGCGGGTGTGACCGTGGTGGGCGTGGTTCGGGGCGGGGCATGGCCATCGCGAGGGGCGGGTGTAACGGTGGTGGGCGTGGTTATGGCGGGGCGTGGCCATCGGGAGGGGCGGGTGTAACAGTGGTGGGTGTGGTTCGGGCGGGGGCGTGGCCATCGGTAGGGGCGGGTGTAACTGTGGTGGGCGTGGTTATGGCGGGGCGGGGCCATCGCGAGGGCGGGTGTCACAGTGGTGGGCGTGGCCAGTGGCGGGGCGTGGTTTGGGCTCGAGCCAGCACCCAGAGCTCCAGGAGCAGCGCCGGCAACTGCCTGCACCTAACAGTCCTTGGGGTCCCGAGGCTGCACAGGTAATGGCCCTGCGAGGGCGGGCGGGCCTCGGGCCGGAGACCGGGCTCCTGGGAGGGGGAGGAGGGAGGGGAGGAGAGAAGGAGAGGAGAGGAGGGGAGGGGAGAGGGCGGAGAGAAGTGGGGCAGGATGGGAGGAGCCTCTGACCCCCCCACCTCACCCTCTCCCCCCGCAGCCCCGACTGCCTCGCCATGTGGGGCCCACTGGTCCTGATGCTGCTGCTGCTGCTCGCGGTCAGCCCCGTCCCCAGCGCCACGGCGGCGCCCATCCCCAATGCCAGCGACCAGGACTCGCAGAACCTGCCCCAAGGTCCCCGCCGCCGGGAGGGTCGGGTTGGGGGGCAGGAAGGAGGGGCGCGGCCTAGGGACGGGGACCCGGACAGGGGACCAGATGGGGACCTTGAGGGTCAGGGGGGAAGGAAGGGGGAGCCGCGTGCTGGCAAGAGCGTCCACCACTCAGCCGGCCTCCTGCGAGCTCGGGGGGCCCGGGGGGAAGGGGGCGGGAGGAGGGGGGACGGGGAGCGACACCCCGGCTCGCCGGCAGCCCGAAGCCCCTCCTGGAACCCCCTCGTCCTTCCCCAGGGGCCAAAGGAGGCGACGGGGAGCCGTGGGCGGCCGAAAAGCCGGCCCCGCACGCCAGCTGCCCTCCGACCTGAGGCGGCGGCCGGGCCCTGCGCCCCGAAGCCCAGGGCCGGCCCGCGGCTCCCGGAGAGCCGCCCCGCCCCCCAGACCCGCCCCTTCCTGGCCCCTTCCCCAGCCCCAGCCCCTCCTCCGGCCCCTCCCGGCCCCCCGGACCCCCCAGGCCCCGCCCCGGAATAAAGTTCTTTCTCCGCGGCTGCCGCGTCCTCTCCCGCCGCCCCAACGGAAAGCGGGGCCCGCGCCCGAACCCCGAACCCCGAAGCCCGCACGAGCCCCCGGGGCGCGGCCAGTGGGTTCTCTTAGGATCCAGACACGCACGGAGTCAGTCCACTGCGGTGCCTGGAGGGGACCCCCAATGTCCAGCCCCCAAAACGCACCCTTCAGAGCAGCGGCCAAGGGTCACGAGGAAGGTCAGGCCGAAGCTCCGGGGCAGAGACCAGCCGCCGCCCGGGCTGGTGAGGATGGGGGCCGGGCCGGCTCTGCCTGGGGCGTCACCGGGGATGGGGGGCTCCGCGCTCTGCACCCTCTCCCGCCGGCTCCTGGGGGCGCCCTCCTCAGGGGAGAGGGACTGAGAGCTAGAAACATCGATGAGAGAGAATCATCGATCAGCCGCCTCCTGCACGCCCCCCACTGGGTATGTGCCCACAGCCGAGGTCCATGCCCTTGACCGGAATCGAACCCGGGACCTTTCAGTCCGCAGGTCGGCGCTCTATCCACTGAGCCAAAGCGATCAGAGCGTGTCTTTTTATTTTTAATATTTTAATTGATTTCAGAGAGGAAGGGAGAGAGAAACAGTGATGAAAGAACCATGGATCGGCTGCCTCCTGCACGCCCCCTACTGGGCATGCATGGAGCCTGCAACCCAGGCATGTGCCCTAGATCAGAGTCAAACCTGGGACCCTTCGGTCCTCAGGCTGACTATCCACTGCGCCACACCGGCCAGGGCCCAGGCGTGTCTTTGAAGAGACTGAGTGCTGACGCCGGAGCGGGTGGCAGGTAGAATAGACGAGCCTGGAAACAACCCGCTG